ATAAATATAATAATTGAACAAGCTCTCAAATTTCTACGCCGGGGTTCATACAATTATAATAATAATAAAATATCTTTATTCACATAGACGCTTGCGCGTTCTTATAAAACGTCAAAATTTTACAAGAAATTAACACGTTCGTAAGTTACCACCGGTTCGGAAAGCAGTTTCTGTTGAGAAGAAACCGGCAAGAAACTCAACAGTTGCTCTTTTTTAAAAAAAATTTGAATCAGTTTTACAAAATATATAATAGTACAAGTACAATAGTCTTGTTTTTTTAGCCTACGTGAGTATCAACAGTATTAACCCCACACATTGGCGTCGTCAAGATATTCGGCAATAGTATAATAGGCTTTAGCCATAAGTTTACTTTTAATTTTTCGTTTAAATTCATCAAGTGGCAGACTTAATATCGACTGTGGGATTTTATTATACATGCGCACACTTTGCCCCATGAACGACCTGTTTACTTTTTGTAGGCGAAATAATGGCGTAGTTAGTTTGTCCTTATTTCTAGTATTTAGTTTATGTCTGTCACTATTCTTTTGATAATTATTAATATTCTGTTTAACATACAAAATATTACAATAAATATATTAAGCCCTTATAATGGCATTACAATGTTTACTAGACGCAATATTGGGGCAAAGATTTTTGCATGTAACATGAAACGGATTGCTTGCTCGATGTAACCAACATCGGATTGACAAAATACCGTACTCGTAATATTTCATGCACTAAACCCTTAGCGATCATTATTACAGCTAAATACAGTCGCTTCGTGGACTGTCCACGAAGCGATTCAAGAACATTCTCACACATTTATTGTTTTACCTTCCCGCTTTAACTGTCTTTGTTTTCACAAATCTTTTCAGTTGACGAGGTCTGAGGAAAGATCGTTTTGTTTTTAAAAACACAAAGGAGGAGCAAAAGCCGGCAGACAATAAGTTCTAAGAACGTCCAGAAATCAAGAGAGACGACACAGAAACGTCCTCGGCGTAATAAAAAAGCCGGAAGAGCGTTATAAAGGTACCGAGACGACAAAGGGCCAAAATTTAATAGTCGCCTCCCAGACGGACGGACGCCGACACAAACTTTATTATTACATAAAGATCCCTGACCGGAAGCGGCTTTGGGGTCCGGAAGCAATGGAAACAGTCGCCCGCCTAGTCGGATGTCGCCTGCGCGGTTTTTACGTCCCCCACGACTATGCGAGCGGATTCAATTATTAAATATTGTATATAGGAATTGTAATTGTGACCACGTTTTAGCTATGTGACGACCGTTTGGCGGCAATCAAATTATTTCATTGGCGAAGTAACTTATACGATTGAACTAAAAAAACAATAAAACGAATTGAATATGATTAAATGAAATATGTCTGTGATCTATCACAGAAGGTCGTTTTTTTGGACTAGTAACCTTTGGGGCGTTTACAGATCCGCCGGACTTGAGTTGGCCGGGCGCTCGGGGCGCCTAGCCTGAACCACCTGAAGATCGCATTGAACCGTAGTATTTATACTTTTGCGTGTAGTGCGTGACGTAGTCGGCGGCGTAGACTATCTAAGTCCGTCATGTCTTGAAAATGAAATATTAATCTTGAGATAAAGCGGCAGTCTAACCAACGGGCACTCGTTATGGCGTTGAGATCCAAGGCGGCAATCGGGAACTGCATGAGGTCAAATATTTCAACATAAAGACTAAAACTCAACACTAACCAACGATGGGTACAAAACGCGTACACAAGGTACACACGTCCAAGGCAGTACTTACCGCTCCCCGCTACCGATTAAACAGGCGACGACCGGATTTGGGATTAGAACACGCGGTTTCGAATGCAGCCAAGAAGCAAAAGACGAGTGTGAACATGTCTTCCGCCCAATCTCAATTTTAAAATGCCAGCGAAAGCACTATGACGTTCGTGGTGAACCACTACGCAGTGGTTAGGACCAAAAATATCCAATAATTAATTCATGCTACGTAATGAAAAACAAGGGATTAGTTGAAATTAAGATAGCTTGTTTATACTAAATCAATTACGTTCATCAGCCTACATTATAATTTATCCTTCTTCTCTATAATATCTTCCCCATAGTACAGTCTGCGACGATTTGGGGGTTAGCATGCACAATATTAACCCCCACACTAGGCGCAGTAAACCTGTTAAACCCATATTTAAATACACACGCAGTAAACCCATATTTAAATAAAACATTTTTCATTTTCATATTAATCTAGGAGACGTCGTGTAATTACTGCTATAAGAATTATATATTGATTTTTCGTAGAAATACACATACATAAATCTATACAGATAAATAAAATTGGAGTGTCTGTTTGTAATATTAAAATAACCGCTTTTTACTAAATGCACATGGATTTATACACGATACAGTACCCGGAGGACCGAGCTTTGCTCGGTTTTTTTTTTGGTAAATCGTGTATTTTGGAAATTACATTTAGATACAAATTACTGAGTAATGAAATATGCATAATATTTTTCGATGTTACCGACGTAATAATAAGAAAATATGAACTGATGTTTTTCACAAAAGAAAGAACTTTAAAAAAAAGGGAAAAAAATAACAAATCAACAAAAAATTAAAAATAAAGAAAGCAATGATCTGGAATCGAAAAAAAAGTAAAAAAATAAATGTGTAAATGTTCGTGATGCGAACCACGGCCGTCTGATTTGGGGCCGCCCGATTAGCGACCGAGCTATTTTGACATTTTCTATTGCGGCGAAATTTACCGTCATATTCGAATTATATTTTTCATTCCCTGAAAACAGGGATAAAAGGACATTTTCTAAAAATGAAACCTAGCTAGATCGATTTTTCGCCCCCGAATCTACGCACATACTAAATTTCATGAAAATCGCTGGAGCCGTTTCCGAGATTCCGATTATATATATACAAGTATATATATATATATATATATATATATATACAAGAATTGCTCGTTTAAAGGATAAGATGAGAAAGATATACCAAAATAACATTTTTTACAATTTTTGTCTGCCTGAAACGGCTGAACCGATTTGGACGGGACTTTCTCTGACAGATAGCTGATATAATAAGTAGTAACTTAGGCTACTATTATATTAGAATATTTTTATTTTAAATTCCACGCGGACGAAGTCGCGGGCACAGCTAGTAATAACTGTAATTAAAATATTGTAACATGAGCGGTGGCGGATTTGTAATCTTAGACCCCATGTGGTAAGCCGCCTCTTTTTCGGAGCCCATCATATATCTTGTTATCATCAGTGAATTTTTTGTCACGATTGGCGGCCCCTAATATGTGGCCGTCTAGGCCCAGGCCTTTTGTGCCTTAGAGCAAATCCGCTACTGAACATGAGACAACAGCACAAACGCTGTCTAGGTTTTAAATTTCAATAATAATAATAATTTTTTTTATCTATAAACCCAACCAGACGAGAAAACAAAGGAATATCCCCAACATAATAAAATATCTTTATTCACATAGACGCTTGCGCGTTCCTATGAAACGTCAAAATTTTACAAGAAATAGGAACTAGGGAAGAACACTCGTGACAAATAGGAAATAAGGTTTTACTACTTACTAAAACCACAGTTATGATCTCTGCAATATAAAAAAGCTAATATTTACAAAGTTCAGGTGACTGCAAATTGCTTGACTTTCTTGAGTCTGATTTTTTTTTAATTGTGTTAATCATCACGGTAATGTAATTTATTTGGAAGCTGTCATTAATTTTGATATCGACTCTACATATTATTTGTTATGTTTTGTTAGTTTATCTGATAATTATGTAATTGCTTGAAAGCGTTTTACAATTTTATACAATTCCCGTTGCCCTAAACCTCATTATCACATGAAAATGTCTTGATATTTGAAGACCCCATTGGCCCAGTAGCTAGTGAACCTATCCTATCGTGAGTGAATGGATATTGCGCGAGAATATGGGTTTAAATCCCCACAAATGGAAAAATATTGTGCGAGAAACATAGTGTTTTTCCAGTGTATCAGTTATCTAGTACCCATAGTTCAGGCGTTTCTTATATTGGGAGTAGAGAAAATTGTGAAAAAAAGTGTTTTGAAAATACCTTGATTGTTAAGCTATTACACTCAAAAACATATCATTATTATGCATATTTAAGCGACCATTAAAGACGCTTTTAAGAATTAATAACTAAATAATCAGTCCCTAAATTGCCAAGATACTCAGTAACGTCGTGATGTTCATAAAAACTAAATTAGATCGTAACAGAAAAAGGGCCGTCTAAGAATATTAGTCTCTGCTATTTCCGAAAATACATTCGCGCGGGAATCTGAAATATCGCCGGAAACGTACGTCCCTAATTGCCGCGCGTATCCAAATTAGAGAATCAATATTTAGTATTGTTCCTTATACAAATTCCAACCTTTCACTAAGAGCATATAGTAGAGTCTATCTTATACCACGAAACACTTACACCCTTTTTAGATTGTGCGACGATACGGAAACGATTAGTTTCAGAACCACATGCTGACAGACAGGATGCGAGAAATTCATTATCGATTCTTAAAAACAATATCTCCTAATTCCCTCGCACTTACGAAGTTTGCAGTGGGCTGGAAAGAGAAATATATAGTGCCCGCATCCGGCTACATTACCGCGCTGTAAGTTACTACGCTTGCGAATCTTCTTCGAAGGATGAATACCGAAAATCCTGGAAAGTTGTTAAGGAAAAACAACCTTTAACTCGCTATAATAAAGCTCTAATTTTTTTATTTCTGTGCGTCACTAATTGCGTTTAGTTTTCAAAAGTGTAAAAGATCTTATACTCATTCATTTTGATCGTTATAGTTCATTCATTCGACTTGCGGCTGCATAGCGGAGTGGTCGTGTAAACATCCCGTTAGTGGAAAATTCATTCGCAACCTAAACACGATAGATATTACGTATTGACCTGTGAAAACATTGTGCGTTGATATTTTGTGTACACTGGATTGTGTAAGCGGCTTTTAGGATTTTGATGGTGAGTCTTTTAATAATTATAAAGTAAATACTATCTAAGTACCTATTTTATAACGATGGCTATAAATTTATTTTTGCGGTTTCATTTTCACGTAATTTTTATTTGTGTATATTTATGTGTAATTAGTAGTTTTTGTTGTAAAATAAAGTTTAATCAATTAGAAAACCATTAATCTTATATTTTTATGAGTCAAAAATACTAAATGTGAGTTACTCATACTCATTTTGCATATAATTATACATAATCCCTGTAAGTAAGTAGAGTAAAAGTTAAATGAGTTACAACATAATAAAATAAATATATCATAAAATAATAGTAACCAAGTCGTAACATTCCTTAAATAAGTAAAAGCAACAATTAATGATAATTTTCAAGCTCAATTCGGGTTTATAAAATTTATAATGATTTAAAATCTTCTCAAGCAATTTTCATCTACACAAATTCATTTACATATACATCTTAATAATTGCACATAAATATTTAATAAACAATTTTCAATGTAAATGTTTAGTGAAATTTATTTAGAAAATAAAAAGATCGTACCGAAAGTGTCCTACATATGAAACAAAGCTACTTAATACGTAGCTTAACGAAGTCGTGTGAAAATAACAAAGGAAATTGCGATCGTGCACCTTTTGTCAGGCTGCGGTTAATGTAATTACCATTGTTGTTTCCTTATGGCGGCCCGCTTCCCGCCATAACACTGACGGCATCTTTCCCGCGCTTTCTCCCTTCCGCCTTCTGCGTGACTAACAATGGCGGGAGAATCTGAGAAGCCCACTGTTATAATAATGCAAATAGTTGCTTTTTTGATTATTCTTTTAAATAAAATAACAAAAATCTTGACTGTGCTAGGGCCACGCAGCAGTTTCCACTACGGCGACAATCACTTAACATCACGTGTACCGGCTGGACGCTTGACAACTTTCTCTTAAAAAAACATAAATTTTGCAATATTATAGACATTCCTTTTTAGTTCGGCTGCTTTGTTTTCTTATTTCAAAACCATTATCTAGAAAAAAGTCTTTGTTTTACCTATTCATTGCCACAGCAACAGCACTATGAAATAATGTTACAAATAATAATAGTGTTTGACAATGATGAGTGTCTCTAAATTATTATTTTTTTATGTGAGAAGGTGGAATACTTGCTGATGGTTCACCTGATATTAAGCGATAACCGCCGCCCATGGACATCTGCAACATGTTGCAAATGCCCACCTTTTAATAAAGTGGGCCCGACTACCTCACTCACCAAACGAAAAGCAGAAGCATTACACTTTCACTTTACCGGCCAGCCTTCTATGAGGTCATGGTGCTTCCCCGTGACCTGTCCATTCGTGCAACAGCGAACACATTTGCGTAGCTCTACCATAGTTAAAAATAAATACCACACCTACAAATAAATTACAAGCTGTTTGGAATAAATAGGTTCTGAATAAACCTTGGAAGGCAACGATTGCGCATTTTTTTTTTTAAATTTAATATTTATATTAAATTTTCTTAGCATTATTAAAAACGATCGGGTTGTGATTTCGATTTTATTACTTATAGTAATAAGTAAACTAAGTAACTAAGAAATAGTAATTTCGGTTCCGGTTGTTCGTTTATTCACAATTTTTAGCGCGAAACCAAAACAGAATAATTGAAAAGTACGGAAGTAGTGGGAAAAGTATTATGTGTCAAACCTAATCCTACATTAAAAAGGTATTCCTGTGGTAAGGGTTCCTGTGGTTGCACAAATGGGCACTCTCATCATAGATATTTTCGCCTTTGTATCCACTTTATTTGAGTCCACTTTTGTAATGGTTGGCAACGCACCTACGATCTGTCCGGTGTTATAGATGACCATGGGTGGCGCTAATGCAAGTGACATCAGATGATATCTGCTCGCTTGCTAATCTGTGATACAAAAAAAACTGGCCAAGTGAGAGTCGGACTCTCGGAATCTATAAAAACGGCAAAAAAAATCATGTCTGTTGTACGGGATGGGAGCGCGACTAACATATTTTTCGGTTTATTTTTTACGACAGACAGACAGCGGAGTCTTAGTAATAGGGTCCTGTTTTACCCTATGTGTACGGAACCGTAAAGATAAAAGAAAACAAATACTGCTCAAACTAGTGCGTTACGCGTTTTTACTTGATCTATTGACTTAGCTTTTTTGTCTAACATCTACAAAGTAAAGTCTAAAGGTTTGCTTCTTGTTATCGTCTTAGCATTGGTATCACCTAATAAATAAATATAATAATAAATATAGAGCAATAATAATCAGACAAGATTCGAGGCTACTTTACTAAAATGTTCAAGAGTCTAGATTTGGGGGCCTCTCATAAATCGAGCTTGCCCCCTCATCCTGCGCTCCCAGACATCTGTAATTAACATCCGTTGTGCATTAAAATGCCCGACATTCCCTATTTAATTAAACAATGAGGCTTTAAAAGATGTTCGGAGTCAATAACGGCGTATAATAAAAAACCGACAATGTGTTCCTTTTTTGAATGGAGCGGAAGTGTTGATTTCGATTATGGTACGTCCGTCCGTTTGGCGGGAAGATGGTGCGCGTGCTTCCGTCCAAATGATCAACTGTCGTTTTGCCTGAAAAAACTATACTTGAAGTAATAGATAATAAATTAAGTATCTTATCTCTTGTTGAATGTTTAATTGATCGCTTATGATTTTAAAATTATTATCAAAGGTTTGCATTTTTACATGCACTAAACATGTTTTGCAGAGACATCGTTGATCAATAATCATTAAATTTTCAGCGTAATTAAAGAACAACAATATTCCTGATTGATCCACTGATTTATATGTAGCGTGTCATATTTAACTAAAAGATGTAATTACTATAATTAATTATTGAATTTGCTCCGTAAATATAATATGTTTTACCGTGGGCTATATAAAATGATCAAACGAGCAAGTATATTTTACATTTGATATGCTTATGGATTAAAAAACTTCAATTTATAGAATGTTAGTTTGATTTACGTTGTGCAATTAATAAATTGCATATTGTGTAGTTTTTTTTTATTTAAAAGTATTTTATTTGAACTGAGCAATTAGTTTACCTGATTATAATGGTTAGTTCATACATTTTCGCAGTGGCGGATTTTCCCTAAGGCCCAATAGGCCCGGGCCTAGTATGGCCACATATTAGAGGCGGCCAATCGTGAACAAACAATTCACTGATGATAACAAGATATATGATGGGCTCCGAAAAAGGGGCGGCTGGAACTTACTACATGGGCTTCGGCCTAGGGCGGCCAAGACTACAAATCCGCCACTGCATTTGCGTACTGCTCATTGTGCATTGCCGCTCCTTTGATGTTTCCTCAAAACCAACTACGATTTGACACAAACGTTTCGCAAAATAGCCCTCTACATATTGGTCCAACGCATTGGCCCAATGTGTACATTTAAGATGTTACAGGCATGCTGAGGATACTGGGACAAGTATAAAACTTTTACTGCACCTAACTCTTGTTAGGGCGTGGAACTGTTTGGTCGCCCTAGCCAGTTCTTATTTTTCTCGGAGATCTTTTATCAGATATAAAGTGATTACCTTCCATATACTTCTACAGTACAGGCTGGTACATAACGTACAACCTTTAAATAAATTACTGCCTATTTTCCTCAGTCACCAGACAAAATCAAATGACTTATACTTTAGCTATTTTTTTCTACAAATTTTAATGTTTCATATTAAGTACAGAGAGCAATGGCGACATTTCTCTTTCGAATTATCGTTATAAAACGATATTCGAAATTGTTTGTATACTGGAAAGGATATAACAATGGAAGCGCTAAGCATTGCTTCAAATGCGAAAAATCAATGTGAGGTATTCGGCCGTTTAGCTTAGTGTTTAAAGCGCCAGGGCGCGAATCCCGAAGACGTGGGTTCGATTCCCACAGTGGCGAAAAACTTTTCGTACTTTTTTCTACAAATTTTAATATTTTTTCTTCTCAGTAGTCCTTAAATTCGTTCAGCAGGAACTATTTTTTAAACTGCTGTTGCTCTGCCACTGTTAAAAAGTATTGTTAAATTGCATGATAAATTCGCCTTAGCTGAGAAACGAACCTCAGTCGATATTATGTTTAACACCGGTTAAACCACACGCTCTGCAAACGGTATCAACAAAGTTATTACATAAACCTAGTAACAACTATGGTGGCACAATAACCTTCCGCACAATGAATACGGCGCGCAGACGGAAATCCGTCACAACAAATATCGGGAAATGAGCACGAATGAAAAAAAAATATTGAATAGTGTAGCTTACATTTACCCGCGGAAACCGATCGTTTATTCAAAATCCGCCATTATGCGCCGGCGGAAACCGGATGTGGGTCACGCGTCCGTACTAATGACGGATTAAAAATGGCGCGTGGGGCCATTATGTAATTATATGGGAGGATGTTTTCTTTCCGTAGCCGGCGCAGTCGGAGATTTGGGTAGAGCATGAAAATGGCTTGCAAATTAAGTTATAAGGCCACTCTCACTATTTTTGGTTTATTATTGCAAGTATCCAACCGTATAAATAACTTATATTTGCGTAGTGACCAACCTTCATTATACAAAGATTTATAACATTGAAACAGTATAGGAGACAGATATTTCTGTCTCAAAATATTTCTGCTGCATTTAATGTTGGCTGGTGTAACAGTGTTTTGTCTCTCCCTCTTTCAGCGGAAGCCAAATTACTGTACCGGCTGACACAGGCAGGAATAAAGAACCGCGTAAATACTTGTTGATTATGCTATTGTTTAATATTATCGTGTTATTTAATATTGTATTTGGTTGTTATTATGGGGGTTACGTCTTCAATTGTGAACTGTCCCCCTCCATCAAATAAAGATTAAAAAAAAAAAAAAAAACATTGAAACAGAATATGACTATAGTTGGTTGTGGGCCTTGGTGCCTGCATTAAGAACAAATGAGACTTGTCATGTACAATACGTATAGGTACTAATAATAATAGTTTGTAAATATTGATATAATTCCATATACTCTCCCCGCAGACTTACCCGCCGCACTGCGTGACCGCCATGCCAACCCAGGTGCGATGCGACCGTGTCCCACCAGCCGACGGCATCTGGGGCGCCCTCGACCTTCGACTTCTGCAGGAAGACGATCTGCCCCTTGGTGCGTACCACAATCAACACCCAGCAGTTCTTACACTATCATATTGATTCCACATTCTGATAGATTAGTGACTGGGGTGCAGGGCTTTCAATCTTCCGTACGTAGGTTAGAATCCCAACGTAATGGATTTTCAATACATACAAAATGCACAGAGCATTTCTGTCTTCCAACAAAGCTTAATCGGTCACATTTGAGATAATAAGCTCTGTCAAACTCATTATACATAGGTACCGTACTTATATTTAATCGTTGCAAGACCTTGATACTTCCGCTCCATTGATATTATTGAGGTCATATTTATAGAACACTAGCTTTTCGCCTGCGGCGTCACTTGCGTTGTAGCCCTTAAATAAATATCTTTCTTTAAAAAAATTCAATAAAACATAGCCTATGTCCTTTCTGAGGCTCTAGACTATCTGTGTACCAAATTTCATTTAAACCGGTTCAGTAGTCGTGGCGTGAAATCGAGACAGACAGACAGAGTTACTTTCGTATTTATAATATTAGTATGGATTTTTTGCGATGCGTTGGCACAAAATTCAGGCGGTGATTACCTCCACCGGCCCTTGGTGATTACGAACGCCCTCTGGGCATCCAAAAGTTGAGGTTGAGTCACGCGCTCGCTATCACAATCGAAGTTTGCGTTGAATTCTACTCAACCAGTAACAGTGTACGGTTTTTTATATTCAAATAAACCAATGAAAATTTAACTATGAGATTAACAGATAATAGGTGGTGCATGATATTATTATATTTTTTTTGTGAGACGCGGTTTTTGCTGAATAAATTGAATTATGGGTAAATGTATAAAAGTTTTTCTTGATTGCCGTGGTAATGAAACACCATGAAATAGGTGTAGCTTTTAGGTGTCGCGTATCGTAACAATTCACTCCCGCCATTTTTTCCCAAACGCGCCAAAAGTGGTTATAACTTCAAAAATAATCATGAACTGCATTGAAAGAATGAATGAATGTCTTTATTGCCAGAATATCGTCGTACATTGTGGTCTTAATTATCATAATTATATAAGGTTTATAAGCTTAAAAGGGAAAAAGGAAGGACTAAGGTCGTAGTAAAACCACCTAACCGTGACCTCTCCACGGGTTCGCAGACCCTCGGACGTGGGGCCGCGCGGAGGTGGGCGCGTGGGTGGCCCGCCGCGGGGGACTCCCCGAACGCTTCCCCATGAACGGGAAGGCGCTCTGTCTGATGTCGCGCGACATGTTCGCCAGCCGCGTGCCGAGCGCCGGCCACCAGCTCCACCAGGTGAGGAACTGAAGGGTGTGGCCCATTTCGTCACCTAGCCACGGATATTACGCAAATATGCCTAATCCGTAATGACCATATCTCGTGCCAGTTCCAGAAAATATTCAGCATTGAGTGTCATTAGATAGATTATTCTTCGCTAATACTTATTTGAAACGACGCGTGTACATAAACTGAATTTAATGCAACGCCCGCACAAATAACTATAACGGCGCGCGTTTGAAAATTAAATTAAATTTCTCTGACTATTGCTGGAAATATGGACATGAACATCTGTAAAAAATAATTCAGATGAAAGTATTACATCGTCATCATCATCCTCCTGCCCTTATTCACCTAGGTGGAGAAGGCACAACATGTGAATCATGTAAGCGGCTTCGTCTATGTTTTTACGACATGCCTGACGTCAACCCTCTTGGGAAACAATTATCTGTGGGTCACACAAATACTTGTCCCGTGTGGGAATCGAATCCATGACGCCCGGCGCCGAAGCCAATACATAATTACAAATTTAAATCTTATGTAAATTGAAGTATTTTTATCCAAAATAGAAGTCTCATTATTTATACTTACCTACCTACAATTAACACAAAAAAAAATTAATAAAAATATATAATTTAAAATCTTTTTTTTGTTTCTAGGACTTCAGAAGAAGACTGGCGAAAGCATTAGCACTGCAAGAGCTGATTGAAAAGATGTCTACTAAATGAATTACTCTGTCATAATATTTTGCTCGTTACCAAAGCATCATACGAGTATAGTAATAATGGAAGCAAACTGACCTCTATTCTAAAATATGTTTAGTTAAAATAAAAAGCCTTCGTGAAAAAAATGGTTCGATAAATATTAGTTTATGCTCCATGGGTATTACTTAGCTGTAGTATGTAGTCGCTTTATGTTGTAAATTTTAAAAATGTTTATAATATTACACAATTTTAGTTAAGTTCCTATTAACAGTGTAGTAATTTGGTGGTGTAAATCGTAATAAGTTTGTAAGTTACTCTCTAGGATTTTTTTCCGTGAAAAGACATTAGTTTGTAGTGAGATTAGATTTACTTATAGATATTTTATTACCTCTATTACTTTTATACATTATTAATCTTTGTTACATTTTGGCGGCAAAATAATTGATGTTCAATTTTAATTAATATGCCTTACTAAGTTATATTTCAAGATTTTTTGCACGTCATCATATGTAAGGAATTCCTTCTTAAGGTATAAAACATTCTTAAGTTATATATTTGTAGTAACTGTATCAGTATTATTGATACCATTTCGCACATGTTTTTACTGTATAGATACTGTCCGTATATTACGTCAACATAATGCATGAGTCGTAATATAGAATGTTGTAATGTCTAGTCAGGACAGGGTGTAAATAAATGAGTATGTGAACTTTTTTATTGTATCATTTCATCTGCATCCTGAACATAGGTACCCCACCGCAATTGCGCCATTTAATTATTTCAGCTGCCTTCGATGCCGTCAGCTCGTCCCATTCACGCCCGCGTTACATTAAGCCTGTAGAGATTCCGCTAAGCAGCTTACAGTAACCGCATGAGCGATGGGATAAAATTCTATTTTCTGAAGAATTCGATTTGAATTTGGACCAAATTCGAAAAGTTTAAAGGTTATCGACATCCTCCAAATAATAATTTCAAAAATTGTACTATTTTTCAATTTATTTATAATTACGTTTATAATATGTATAATATACTAATTTTACCTGGTAACCGAAAAAAACACCGTCGCGTCGAAATATTGGTTCGTGCTGTGTATTTTTGACTTACAGATAAATTGTTCCGGATGTGGGTGTTTATCCATGCACAATTCATGAATGTAGATCTTTATTACCACACGGTATAATGTTATATCCTACACTGTGAATAATGTTTTATAACAGAAATAGGGGAGCTTGTCCGACGTAATGTGTAGGCAACTATAACATGTTAACGAATATAAATCAATGACATTTTATTAATAGAAGCAGTGCTGGATTTACACACGGGGTAATTGACGAGGGAGGCAAACTTCGAAGGGCGCGAAAAAAAATTATCGAAAAAGCTTTCAAAAGTGAAATTGTGATGAAAAGATCTTCAAATTATAATTAAAAAAAAAGAAATTATTTACAATGCTTCATACATTAAACAGTTATACTAAAATATTCAGAATATCAAGTAAATTACATGTTATCTAACGATCCTGCTCCATACGGCATTGTGCAAAAAGGCTAGCATTTCTTTGCTGTATAGTTATAGGTATTTAACCTATGAGTGAGAAAAGAACCAGCACTCTTGTTGCCGCAGCGATAAGTCTTTGACGTAAATCTTTAAAAAAGTTTGATGTTTGTTCCCCACGGACCTAAAGTTTCAACAGCAAATACCACAACTACATAATTTGATGCCATCTCGGCTCTGATCGATGTACCCTTTCGATGAGATGCAGCCAGTGTCTAAACAAGTAGCTTGACTAACGAAGATTTTGCCTCTAAAATAAATATGTTTTATGAAATTATAAATTAATATTACAAATTGTAGAAATATACAGTGTCTACAGTTTCATAAATTGTCCTTTACAACAGTGCATTTTTAATTAAAAAAGAAAACCGACTGCAAATATTTCACTCATAATTTACATTTTCTCCGGAGTCCAAAGTTCAATACCAATGAAGATAAGGTACATAGGAGATAAGCCGAAACACTTGGAAAATAATTTTTAAAATCGGTTCGAATCGAAACGAGACGAAGTTTGAAGTAAAAACACATTAAAGAAATACAACCGAACTTAGAACCTCTTTTTTAAATTCGGTTGAAAATTAAAAGCATGAATATGGAAGAGGTTTCGTCTAAAGAAAATGATCTACACGATGATCCTGGAGACCGAGAATGACTTTACCAGAAAATACGTAGCTACTCAGGGGCGCAAGCAGTATTTTTTTTTTATATGGAAACTTTCGGTTATGGGACTATAGTTTTTACAGCACTTATGAGCGGCGTTATAGTTAAATCCGGCCCTGTAAAGACGTACCATATTGTTATGAACACACAAAGGAACTAACGCCATCTAGCGTCAACTATTAAAATCACTAAAGAACAAAGACGACATAAAACCCCCTATTCAATACTAGATGGCGTTAGAGGAACTGTTGTGGAACTATAGTCTCGAAAACCGGGAACATTCGCGAACTTTCCGGAATCACGAACATGTTCGGGCGTGTCGGGTACGTTCCAGGAAGGATCTTTCTGGATTAGTCTGGAACCGGTCTCGGCCCATATAAAAAGCGGGGAGGCGAGCGAATACAGTTCAGTTTGAGCTACCTTCGAGGCGACTTCGGAGCGAAAACTAGTGATCAAGAGCGATACCAGTGAAACCTACGACTTGGCTACAAAATAGGACATCGTTAGTGCTTTGTGTTGGACCTAGTGCTTGAATAAAGTCTTCAAAAGAGTCAGCAGGTCTTTCTCTCCAAATCCTTCGAACCCCTAACACGTAACAATATGCTAGGAGTACTAGGGGCAGTAATCTACCCTAAAATCGGGTTTGACCGGTAACAAATATACTTGGGAATATAGGTACTTCTTTTCATGCTCTGGACTCCGGTAAGAGAGTGGTTAAACAGTTTTCTTTGCAGAATAAAGTGTCATATTCTTTTAATTATAAAATCTGATATTTTAATATTAGAAGAATAATTGTAGACGTGACTAGGTCATTTAATGAGATACATAAAATCATTACAAGTTTGTCCGCATGACACTTGAACTATTATAAAACGTTGTCTGTGCTTTTAGGGTTCAATGAAATGTTTAACCAAAAAAAAAATCATTGTAGAAAAGCGCGAGGTGTTTGGAGTCCATTGTTATAATATTTATTAAACCGTATGGTACGGTATTTAAATTTAGCGTGATAAAGAGCCTGTTTTTTCGATTTTTTTTACTATTATTTATTTTTTAGTTTTTTTACTATTAATTATTTTTTAGTTCTGCTGAGTATAAAACGTGTTTTTTATTTTTTAAATGCGCACTTGGCACATGGTCACTACCAGGTATCGGATTTGGAAAATAGCTAATCCTGAAGGTCTTGATCAGGATAACGGGAAAAACTATTTAAATTATTGCATTGTCATCTCATAACAGTCCCTTAAATCAAATGTGTATACAGTATAATATTTTATGTAGAGACAAATATACTTCATCAAAACTTGTCATTATATTTAAAAACTATCAAGTCCTCTGAAAACATTGGTCTGTTTCTTTCTTATAAGTAAATTAGTAAGAATGTTGTATTCGGTTGTTAATGAAATGTCTGTAATCCTTATTCATGTTATAATTTGTATTTTGTAACCGCCTCAAATAAATAAGTTGTCACGGGACTTTGGAGAGTGCACTATTTTTTTTTTATGGGAAAAGGATGGTAAGCGATCATCGTCGTCCATATGCAACATTTGAAGGTCCCTAAGTCGTCTCACTAATTTTGATTCAAATCTGATCGTTCAAATTGGGGCAAATTTTTGTTCAAAGATTGAGAGGAAGGGGGTAGAGAAATACGTCGGGGTCGTAAACATTTTATTAGGTCGTGGCGTCTCGCCCCGGCGGCCAGGGCGGGTGCACGGCGGTGACGTCGAGCGCGAAGATTGAGGGGAAGAGAAAGAGAACGACGGCGGGGTCGTAAACATTTTATTAGGTCGTGGCGTCTCGCCCCGGCGGCCAGGGCGGGTGCACGGCGGTGACGTCGAGCGCGAAGATTGAGGGGAAGAGAAAGAGAAAGACGGCGGGGTCGTAAACAATTTTATTAGGTCGTGGCGTCTCGCCCCGGCGGCCAGGGCAGGTGTACGGCGGTGACGTCGAGCGCGAAGATTGAGGGGAACAGAAAGAGAAAGACGGCGGGGTCGTAAACATTTTATTAGGTCGTGGCGTCTCGCCCCGGCGGCCAGGGCGGGTGCACGGCGGTGACGTCGAGCGCGAAGATTGAGGGGAAGAGAAAGAGAACGACGGCGGGGTCGTAAACATTTTATTAGGTCGTGGCGTCTCGCCCCGGCGGCCAGGGCAGGTGTACGGCGGTGACGTCGAGCGCGAAGATTGAGGGGAAGAGAAAGAGAAAGACGGCGGGGTCGTAAACAATTTTATTAGGTCGTGGCGTCTCGCCCCGGCGGCCAGGGCAGGTGTACGGCGGTGACGTCGAGCGCGAAGATTGAGGGGAAGAGAAAGAGAAAGACGGCGGGGTCGTAAACAATTTTATTAGGTCGTGGCGTCTCGCCCCGGCGGCCAGGGCAGGTGCACGGCGGTGACGTCGAGCGCGAGCAGGTCCGCGCGCGCCCCGAGCAGCTGGGGCAGCGCGGGGCTGGTGCGCCGCAGCTCGCCGTGCGCCCACTCCTTCACGTACGTGCCGGCGGAGGTGCGCACGCGCACGCGCATCAGCTGCGGGTGGCCTGCGGGGTGCGCGGCAGTTTTATGAGGAGACGGCGAGCGGGCGATGTGAAGCGATAACCGCCGCCCATTGACTTGCGGCTGCGTCGCCACCTTTTAATACTCACTCGCCGGACGAAACGTAAAAGCGTAAAATTATCACTTTTTTTTTGAGTTTTAGATAAGAAACTTCACATCTCGCGGGCTTCACAGAGGCCATTTTGGGTCAAATTAAAAAAAAAAGAAGACCAGTCCAACGCCAGGTCGAGGAGCAGGGGCACCTGGCACGGGCGCGGCGTGCAGCTCGAGCAGGTGGCGCGTGCGCGCGAGCAGCGTGCGCCGGTGCAGCACGCGGATGGGCGTGCGCTGCGCGATGCGCACGCGCGCCTCGTCGCCGGGCGGCGTGTTGCGGAACGCGTTCACGCGCGACACGTCGCCCGCCGTCACGCGCACCGGCGCGCCCTCCGCCGCCTGCCGGGTCAAGCGACGGCATGTATTTGTCCCGCTCCGAGTTCAGAGTGAAACTAGTGACGGCCTATGTTGCCCCGCGCGCCCTCCGCCGCCTGCCGGGTCAAGCGACGGCATGTATTTGTCCCGCTCCGCCTTCAGAGTGAAACTAGTGACGGCCTATGTTGCCCCGCGCGCCCTCCGCCGCCTGCCGGGTCAAGTGACGGCATGTATTTGTCCCGCTCCGCCTTCAGAGTGAAACTAGTGACGGCCTATGTTGCCCCGCGCGCCCTCCTCAGAGTATTGACGAATTTAAACGCGGACTCGTGGCCAAGGCACATCGTACCGTTGTGGGGTTGATACTGTTGATACTGACATACCTGTTCTATTATATTGTGAAGTAATCCTTTTAAAAGAGAGCAACTGTTGAGTTTCTTGCCGGTTTCCTCTCAACAGAAACTGCTTTCCGACCCGGTGGTAACTCACGAACGTATTAATTTTTTATCTAAAATTTGGACGTTTCGTAAGAACGCGCAAGCGTCTCTGTTAATAAATATATTTTTTATTTGATTTGACGGCCTGTATTTGTGTCGCTCCTTCTATCGAGTGAAATTAGTAACGACCTATGTATGTCCCTCCTCCCTGTCGAGTATAGTAACACCCTATATTTATCCTGCTGCCAGGCAAAGACCTCTGTATAAAGGGTGTTAGGCCGTAGCCCACCACGCGATCCCAAAATATTTCTTTTCTGTTTTTGTTCTTATTTCGAGAACATGTTGAATTCCTTCACCACTTAGCGCGTGATAAGTCAGCCAAAGAGAGTATAGCGAGTCTTCTTAAGTGAAACTTCTAAGCCACGTTTCTCTTCAAGATGATTGGAACTGAATTGAATAGAGAAATTACACGGAAGCGGTATGAGATATCTCTCTTTGTATCTCACACTAAATCTCTGGTATTCTTTTTTCTAAACACTATAGCCATATTATAAAATTTGTTTACATTAAGACTAAATAACTATGTCCGGAAAATATTTATTTATTGTACCTCGTCATATTTGGAGTGTGAGAGCTTGATGCAGAGCGCTTCGTAAGTTTTGGTCTTCGTCTCTTCGCCCTTCTTCAACAGCGCCAGGTCCTCTCTGAGAACAGATATCAATTCGAAGCTAGAGCAAGCGTTCGGACGGGCAAAAATCCACTTCATAAAAGCCCCAATGCACGAGACTAAATTCTTCTGTGTTTTGCTAGTCATAGTACTTGTCCGATGAAAACAATTAATTTAAGTAACAGCTGCAAAAGATCCTTAAGATCTATCTTGAGATCTTAAGGATCTTTTTATATATTGAGTATTTTAGTGAGTACATCAAACCTTAAAACCCATGAGGTTAAATATTTTATTTTTATTGTAGGAATCGTTTTTAAACAATAACAGAGAAAAGAAAAAAATTACGAATAAGGTGGTACACACAAAATATATTTCAGAATAAGCTCTGTAAATTAAAGTTGTACTCAATTATTGTTCCTGGACACAGATGCATTGCTTAACCATCGCCAATCTCTATATTGTCTATGATATTAAGAAAGATGACGACACTCACTTGAGGATGGGTACCAGTTGTTTGACGACGACCTCCCCACCTTTGGAGATGAGCTTACAAGCGCTTTCCAGCTCTTCGGCGCTTAGCTGCCTCTGCGGGTCCGTTATCTGATCAGAGAGGGGTACGATTTGTGTTATATTCACCTCAAAACGACCATTTAAAAATCATCCAAAAAAAAAAATAAAGATTTAGAAGTATCTCTTACTTCTTACATCTGCTTTAACACTAACGATATGTTAACGATTTTATTTTGAGTTACTATTAGTGGTTTTACTCCCACTGATTGGGAGCTGCTGATCCCCATATTTCAATCGTATATTCTAAGTGAGACTCTACACTAGTGAGTAATAGATGATAGTGCGTATTTTTTGTTTTATTTAGCACAGATATCCAAAGAAATAATCCGGACAAGTGCAACCCATCAGCTCTGAGTATACCAACGGTTTCATAAAAGACCATCAAACAGATAGACCGACAACATTGTGAGAGAAGGGAGTCCGAGCCTTAGAAGTTATAAGAGAGAGGCAAGGGCAAAGTTATGGGGGTGGGGGGGGGGGGGGGGGTCACCTCTATTGCGAATGGACGTCCGTCTGCCAAGCAGCGCACGTCCACATCCTCCCTCCCAGCCGCTATCAGCTTCAACCGCTTCTCGCCCTCCACCTCACTCATCCTGCGGACCAAATGACCATTCTACCGAGTAACGAGCGTGTCTTTCTTTGTGTATGTTATTTCGAGTTCATGAAATTCGGTTATCGATTATGAAAATATGTAAATAATGAATTTTATACAGTGTCCATTGTATTTAAAAAAAATTTTTTTCATGTCGAAAATGCTAACACTTTTATCAGCGCTTCAGTTTATCTTGATATTTAGGAAACAGCCATTTCATTGTCCATACTAAAGCTACAACTGTAAACTCGTCATAATTTCAGCCTGTTTTAGTCCACTGCTGAACATTGGCCATAGAGCCCCAATAGAGTTACTGGTGGGTCAACCGTCAAAAGGTTTCCATACCCGTAAAGGTCGATGAGGGGCTGGAAGATGATCTCCTGGACGGACGAGGGCATCACCCGCCTCCCGGCCACAATCCACGGCGTCTGCGGCAGCTCGCGGCTGAGTTTTATGTACCTGCAAAATAACTTTGCCGTATATTGGCAAGTCAATTTTTTTTATTTCTTTTATGTGAGGTGGCAGACGTTATGTGATAACCGCCAGCCGTGGACGTTTGCAACCACCGTAGGGTTGCAAATGGGATGCACCTTTTAACAAAGTGGGCCCCGGCTATCTTACTGACCAGGCGAAACGCGGAAGTAAACACTTACACTTCACGCCGGTCTTCACTGAAGCTTACCCGAACGAACCTACCCGTTCGGCGAAGACCGTTGCATGGCCCTACCACAGTTAAAGAGAAGTATTAGTTTTAGCTGTGGGCAGGTCCGTCAGAAAACCGGCGTGGAGGAGACGTGTAACACTTCTGCGTTTCGTCTGGTGAGTGAGGTAGCCTTGAGAGAGTTAATGAAATGGGCCCCCCTTGAAATGGGGGGCCCATTTCATTAAAAGGTTACAAAGCATCTGCAACCCTACGGGTTTTGTAAATGTCCATGTGCGGGGCTCGTTTGCCACTTTGTCACATAAAAAAAAATTGTAAGGGCCTCTACTGTTGCTCACCTGCCGCCTAAATACGAAGGTGCGTGGGAGCAGACGACGCTCGAGCATTCAGCCGCTTTAGTGACCGAGGGTAAGCAGCCGCTGTCGCTGGCGTCGGTGAGCGCTTGAAGCGTGACGCCTTCCAGCGCCTGCTCCACAGACCGTCTAGTGAACTCCGTCGTGAAGCGCTTCCGTTGCTGGCTGCGTGACTCGAACAGCGGCGCCGCGATCGTCTTCAGTATCTCCAGCTCCTGAAAGATTGCACGTCTGATGTGAATGCATGTACCAATTATCGACCACCTTTACAGTGTTATCTTTGAATACCCAATGTAGGCAGTGGTTGACACTTACTATCTCATCACTTACTCGGTGGTACGTTTGATAGGTTTTCTATTTTTCATAAAAATAAAATTATGGTATCAATGTAGTTATATTCTGTATATTTCATAGAGATTTTCGTTTAAAATCGTTTCAGAGGCTGCAAAGTGAAGAAATGCAAAACTTGTGTATAAGAACTTTCTCATGCAATATTATTATATCAACTTTATTCTTCTAGTTATGCCATTACAATTAATGAATTTCTCTTTCTAAATATAACATTCATTGTGATTTACAATAACTTTATATGCAAATTTACAGAAAGTTTTAGGTTAATAAGAAAAGTTTTTACCTTTAAATCGTCCGCATATTCAATATTCAAAGTGACTAACAAGGGAGACACCGCTCCCGAGTCAAGGTTTTTATCAATAAAAGCAGCCAATTTGGTGCCGAAGGACCATTTCCAGGCTTCCTTTAACGGTGTCAAGACATCTGTGGAATATTAAAGAAGATTTACAGCGAGCCCTACTTGGTAATATCTACTTAAAATTATATGCATTGTTAAATATGATTTATCAGGGTAAGTGTAGTAAAGGAGACACTGTTTTCTCCATCTTCTGTAAGAGGGGGTATCGCGAAAGAAAACGAGTCGACAGAAGAGATAACGAGAAGATTTAAGCTAAGCTGACGCAGTAGAAGTGCAGCTTGCGAAGAGGAGTGTCAGTGTTACGATGCACCCATTCCCTTTTCTCTCTTCTGCGCAGCTTTTATGACTTGCGGCGGGGCTGCGGACCGAACACACAAAGAGTAGGCTTAATGTTTCATAGCACTAGCTCTACTGGCTTTTTCCTTACCAAATGAACATTGTGTTCAAGCAAGTCGCTTTGCGGTTTAGCATGTCTAACTAGGGAAGGTAAACGAAATGGTTTTGCACCACAAGAAAGAACTGCAAAAATCATGAGTATTGATTAAATGTTTGACATATCCCATGCCAGCTCCAAAGGGGTATTACAGAGAAAATTTCCAGATGACAGAAAGGCATGATTGAAGCAATTTGCAGTAACAATAGATTCTACAAAGTAGATATACAGCGTGTCGTTACCATCGCGACAATAAATGAATATAGGGGATAAGTTTTTAAAGTTGTATTAAACATTTAAATTCTTTAAACATCAATATTTACAGAGTTATTAAATTTTCCAAAACAAAGAATTTTAGAACACCCTTACCTATAAAAGCGTAACGTAAAGTTCATTTGTAAAGATCACAAAGCATATGAATGGGTTGAATGAATTTAAAAGAGACAAAACATACTGTTAGAAGGAGAGGCTTGTAATACGACGCTGTGGCGCGAGTTGTATAGGTGTTACAAATTGTGTTTCTTTTTTACTTAATTAGTTTGTTTAAAAAATATATTTTTTTAATTATGGATTTTGTTTAACATTAATATTTTTTTATGATTATTGGCACGTAGCGTTAGACGTGTGTTCATTTATTGTCGCGATGGTAACGACACGCTGTATGCTCATATACATACAAAAGGACAGAGGGATAAAACTATATTTACTAGAATCGTAATGTTGAATCTCGTTTTGAAGGTGCAGAGCCACAGCCCTCTCGCGTAGAATTGTAGCGATCGGTGCAGACAGAGCACAAGCGAATGTTCCACATGCATACCTGTACAATACAATCAAATTTAGTCCTAATGAGGTTGGCAAGAAAGCTTATAGTGCGCATTAACTATTTCAATCTAAATATAAAAACTAAGTATAACAAACTTGTAATATAATAATAATATGCCTGATTGGGTCCTACTTATTTATTTATTATATACAATATACTATAATTACATATTATCTAATAAACCTAATCCACGCGGCATGGTGCCAAGAACGCTAGCTGCATTTCCTCGCTGAATAGTTATGCTTAACCTTTGCGCGAGAAAAGAACCAGCTCTCTTGTCACCAGCCGCGGCGTTAAGCCTAGGACATAAACTTTTAAAAAAATTTAAAGTGCGGGGACCCCAGGTTTATTAGATAATATGTAATTTTAGATAGATTTAATCTTGTAAATATTAGATCAATAAAGATTGTCTTTAATATTTATTTACATATACTATAAGTTTATTTTTATTTATTTTTTATTTATAAACCCAATCAGACAAGAAAATAAATAAATCCCCCTCATACCAATAATAAGTCATTTATTTAATCAATCCAGCACACAAGAAATGTAGAGAAAATTAGAGATGCAAAATTATTGCTAAGATAATCTTGTATTTTTTTCTACCCAATCATGCTGAGAGCATATATATATATATATATATATATATATATATATATAGGTAGAAAAACATAACTACAACCTTAGGTGTTGTAGATCTCAATTGGTAGAGGTAATCACTAATGTCAGGTGAACTCTTTGCTTGATTACAAACTTTTCACAAAAAAAGAAATGTCTTAGGTATTAGGCATTTTTTCTTTTTTTTTAATAATAATAACAGATTATCTAGAATATAGAACAAGCCGTATTACAATTGATTTCTTTCTGATCACACTAGAAAAATGATATTGGGTTGAGATAAAAAGTGTTGTCTATGTCCAACAAAAATAATATAAACAAATCGGGATTTACCCAAGTAAAAATATTAATTGGAAATTATTACTTAATAAAAATTATGCTCAGTGAAGTTTTATATGCTCTACGGACTAAAAATGCAAACACCAATCATCAAGTCGCCTTAAAAGACTGTAAGAGTATTTTGCATTCATTCCCACAATTTAACTGTAACATTATAAAAGATTAATCACCTTTTCTTTTCTAGTTCTTCTTTGACCATAATTAGACTATCAGACCATGTTTCTTCTTGAAGTATACCTAAACATGTCACACATATGGCAGATTTGAGCTTTTTTGAAGGAGGTGAACCATCTTCGTCGGTATCATTCTCTTCGGCATTTGCTTTTGAAATGTCCTTACATCCTACCATCATATTGTTTTCACTATTATCAGATTCAATTGTCGCCTGTTTTTCTTCATACTAGGTAAATAAAAATTATTAGTGACTGACCAAGATATTACTTTTCATAGCAATTTATATGTTTTTTTTTTTAAAAAAGTCATTTAAAAGAAAAAGAAATAAGAGCGATGTTTTCTTATTAGCATGATTTCTTGAAATTAAGGGTAATTGAAATTGATATCAATTTAGTATTTTTATGACTCGTTTATATTTTTAATGTTGAATGCTTATTGAAAACTTTTTAATTTTTTTGTTTCTTCACAAAAAAATTAAAAAGTTCAGAACTCTACCTGAGCCGCGGTTTGTTTAGGGTCTTCGAAAGCCGCAGAACTCTTCAAACCTATATACCTAAGGCAGCAGGCGTCACAACATCCCAACCGTTTACAGATTTTAAATATATTACTGTGTTCCATGATTCTATGTTAATGTTTAATCGTTATGGCTTTGTAATATTTGCTATCACATTCATCACATGCATTATATTATTAACATAACCGCAAAGTTTATGTTATTTCAAATGTCAAGCAATCCAGGATGTTTACTTGTCAAAATTTTAAACATTTCTCTTTTATGGTATAATATCTTATATAAATTTATTATATTAATTAATAAATAAATAATATAATTATACTAATAGGTACTTTTTGTATTAAGTGTAGAATAATAGAATGTATTATTTATTTTGCTTTTAACAGAAAATTATAAAACTGATCCGATCGTAAAACGGAGTCTGTATTAAGTTGCTATTAGTAAAAAAAGTTTATATCAGCTGATCTAAAATAATTTTTTTGACTTTAATTATTTACAAACTATATTATCTTATATCTTCCTTTGTATTAACACCAAATTAATTTATAATTATGTAAAAATTTGCCTTTACAGTCAAAGCCAAAATATTTAATGTATTTAATTTTTTAAAAGGTCCAGTTTATGCTGTCAACAGCTGTCAAGTTGTGTTTTTATGTAATTTAAAATATACATTTCAAAATTATAAATAAAGAGTTTACCCCTCACCAAATATATTGGAGATAAATAAATATTTTAATATTATAATAATGGGGACCGTTCACGCTAAGGTATTTGTTTCCTATTAGTTCACTTCTTAATTTGTAGGTATATAAAAAAGAGGTTAGTGAATTGCTGATAGTGATAAATAAAATTTTATAATTAATAAATAAATTCACTAACCTCTTTATTATTCCTTAACTGGTATCGTAGTTTTATCATGGACATAACTCTAGATCTTCTATTATTAAGTCGTTTCCCTGTGAATTTTTTTTATCATTCCATACAATCTAGAGGGATTGATACGATCTGTAAGACGGAAAGAAGAGACTTAAAAATAAATTATTCTGTGCATCTTACCTAGTAGTTAACATTTATTCAGTAACATGAAACGGTTTTAAAATAAATAACGAGCACAAATCTACTGTTATATCTATATGTAATAAAATGGTAGGGCCACGCAATAGTCTGATGCATAAATGGGCAGGTCTGTCTGGTGACTTCATAGAAGACCGGCGTGAAGTGGAAGTTTTATACTTCCCCGTTTCGTCTCGTGAGGTGGCCAGAGCACACTTTATTAAAAGGTGGCATAGCATCTGTTAATTATATTATTACTTCATTCTGTTCGGTTCTACTTGTATTGGTGTAGGTTCTACTATTTCTAACTGTGGTAGGGCCACGCAGCATTCTCGGCTGTTGCACGAATGGGCAGGCTCGTCCGGGTAAGTACCACAACCTCACAGAAGACCGGCGTAAAGTGGAAGTATATTAATACTTTCGGGTTTCGTCTGGTGAGTGGGGTAGCCAGAGCCCAATCTTCAAAAGGTCACACATCTGTAACCCTCAGGTGTAGCAGATGTCCATGGGCAGTGGTATTCACTTAACATCAGGTGAACTGCCTGCTCACTTGGCAACTTTTCACATAAAAAAAAATTTGAGTTAGGAATATTAGGCATATGAATATTACTAAAAAATGTATTTTAGAGGTAGATACAATATTTATACAATAGAACATTTTCAGTTGATCATATTATTAATTGTTTCAGGCTAAACAAAATGAAGGGTTTGGTGAGGTGGGAAGTGGGTTGCTTGGTATGGACGATCCAGTAGAACTAGATGAAGAGCCTATCACAAAACCTAATATAAAGCTGAATGGAGTTCGGGTAGGTTTTCTTTTACGCCTATGTGTATAGTTAATTCTTGAAGTACAAATAATAATCCAAAGTGACTTTATAGCTATCTGCTAATGTCTTTATGGCCAATAAATACATTAAATTTGTATTTCAAATTCATATTATGGGACAGTTTAAATAAGTTGTTATTTATTCAATATGTTTATTTTAAGAATAAAATGTAACATAATACATCTTTCTTTTGTTTTTTTAATTCTTTAAAAAGAGTTGATAATGGTTGGGATGTCTAACCTGTGATTTTAAGGGCAATTCCCGTGCCCCTTATTGTTAACATGCATATATTATTGAATTCAAAAGTCATTGCAAATGTTTGCACATTTATGTTGTGATACTGCAAGTTTGTTGATTTATCTGATTATTGAACATATTGGGAGTTTATTGATGAAGATTGTAAGAAACAGTTTATTGATGAGAATGATCTGGTAAGCTTTGTATCAATGTAGTATGTTCCGATTGAAGGCTCGTGTTGATCGCGTACATGTGGATGGCCTGAGCCGAACTAAAGACGACATCGTGCGAGGGGCCGTCGACGATCTCTTTCATGCGACCGATTTCGAGGATGTCATACTGCGGGCCCACAAGGTGATACCTCAAGTTAAATATTATGCAATGAGGCATCTATGTATATATACCATGTACATAAAAATTATTTAACTAATTATACGGATGCTTGATTACTTGCGCTCCATTGAAAACGGAATCATGTTTATGATATTCAAGTTTCAATTAATTTATTTAGTCATAAATGTTGTGCATCAACCGTGATTTTATTTTCAAGATATTTTGTTTTCTTATGTATGCTGTCTTCAGCCCTTGTGTCACCTAGGCGGTATTGCCACAATATCAATGATAGATTTTTCACGACCAGAACTGACGCCAACAATTCTTTATACAAATAATTGTATGGCACTGGAATCGAATTCGCAATCAACAGGCCGACTTAAAAAGGCCAAGACTAGTGACTTATTTAGACCACTAATATAATTGTTTCAGGTGCGAAGCGCTTTGGATGCGACTGGATGCTTCCGAGACATTGGGGTCTTCATCGACGTGTCTTCGGGTCCCGGCGCGACACCCGAGGGACTGGAGGTCTGTCCATTTCTAATGTTTTAATATTTCAATCATATCTAATATTGCGGTTTGTCTATAGTGGATACTGTGACATACAAGTTACAAATTAATGTTCTTATGGGAAACCTTTGTCTTATAATTTTTTTAATAAGTCATACTGCGGTTTGTCTGAAGTGGATACTGTGACATCCAAGTCACTAACTAGTGGATTTATGAGAAATACTTGTCCGTATACTGGTATTGTATCATCTACTTTGTTAAATTTTAAAGTGGATGTTTAGAGGTAGTGGTAATATGATTCAACTTAATTTTAACGAAAATGTTATTTACCTACCGTTGAGTTAATGTGATGTTTTATCGTTACTCATACTTTCCCTTGAACATTTTAATGCCGACTACTCGGTGACTGCGGTTTCTCTGAAGTGGGCTTTATAATTTCTGTTAACAACCTCCGGTCATATCTCCAGGTAACCTTCCAAGTGAAGGAGCTCTCGCGCATCGTGGGCGGAATAAACACGACCGTCAGCGAAAACGAAGGCAACTTGGTCATAGGTGAGTGCCCGACACATGAGCCACAGTTCTTCCCAATTGCATGTTAAAGAAATAAAATAAATTACGCACACAACATAAAAAATGTAACAATAAAATTAAAGAAATATAAAATACATACTACGGCAGATCAAACCAAAATCAGTACATAATTCAAATGTAAAACTGTACCACCACTACTGGACCACCCCTTTAGTTAACTATAACAACATGTTAGTCTATGCCTCCCCGGCTTATGTTCAGCAGTGGACTCAACGTCCGGCTGAAATTATGATGATGAACAACGTGTTGCTAACGCAGCAGTCTAGATTCTCGGACTTGTTTTTAAGTAACCTAATATAGTAAGATAAAGAAATGCCCATGTTAGAAATGTAAAGAACTATTGTCAGTCTGTATTTAACTCTCCTGCAGTTAACTCAGCTAGTTTTAATTTTTAAAAAACCTCCGGTGCCAGCCCCAAAGTTAAGTCGTTAGACAGCTGAATGATATTATTTGCTCTTTTATTCCATCTAAGTAAGTAAGATCGGTAAATACAATCAACGGGGCAACATCGCAATCGTGTTGTTACTGGTATGGGCCTGGTTTTTAACGACCGGCCGCCTGCCTCCGCCTGCCTGACGTTAACTCTACCCCAACAAACACCCAGGTCCAATTCATCAATTATCTGTGGGTCAGACAAGCACTCGTCTGGTGCGGGAATCAATCTGACGACAGCCGATGCCACGAACGTAGCTACTACGTCACGGACGCATTTAATTTTTATGTGAGAAGGCGGCAAAAGAGCTGGCGGTTTGTCTCATGTTAAGTGATAATCACCGCCCATTAACATTTGCAACACCCGTGGGGTTGCAGATGCGTTGCCACCTTTTAATAAAGTGGGCCCCGGCTACCTCACTCACCAGCCGAAACACGCAATTGAAACACTTCCACTTAGCCTGACGGGCCTGCCCATCCGCGGAGCAGCGAAGGCAGTTGACTCTACCTCTTTTTACCCTTAAATACCGCTATGAGGTCCTACCACAGTTGGCATTTACTGATTTATACATTTAAAAATCTTAAACTTTTAAGCGAAAAGGAATTGAATAATTGTTATTTCTTAAAATTAGAGTTGTCCAAAGCGTTGTGCGCTGTTGAACGATAATAAATTATAAGTGTCGACAATAATTAAATTGACAGGAATAGAAAAACAAGAGAACAGATAGAAGACTTTCACTTGTGTTCGCAGCTGAAACGTGGACAACTCTAGTTCTTATCTAGCTTCTGAAATAATGTTTGATATACGTAAATAACTTCGTAGGCGTCAAGATGCCTAACGTGGCCGGTAGGGGCGAGAGGGTCCAAGCGGAGTACAGCGTCGGCCACCGCAGTTCGTCCAACTTCAGCGTGACGGCCTCGAAGCCCTTCCCCCGCAGCCCCCTGGCGCCCACGTGAGTCCCCGGTTTCATAACGGTGGTGGGGCCACGCGGCAGCCACGGCTATTGTACGAAGGGGCAGCCTCGTGCGAGTAAGTGCCACGACCTCGCAGAAGACCGGCCTGAAGTGGAAGTATAACACTTTCGCGTTTCGTCTGGTGAGTGAGGTGGCCGGAGCCCAATTTTCAAAAGGTTATCAACGCATCTGGAACGGTATTCACTTAACATCAGGTGAACCGTCTGCTCGCTTAATTATGCCCTTAAGGGTTCCTTATAGTAATGAGGGCCCCGGCTACCTCGCTCACCAGACGAAACGCAGAAGTACTTCCACTTTACGCTGGTCTTGTGTGAGGTCGTGGTACTTACCCGGACGGCCCTGCCCATTCGTGCAACCGTGAAAATAGTGTTTTTAAATTTTATCGTCGTCCTAATCTGTCTTCTGTTATCTCGCAGTCTCTCGGCTTCGGTGTACCAACAGAACCACGAGTATCCCTGGTCCGGCTACCGCCTCCTCGACAGGGGTCTGATGCTCGACCTGGCCTTCAACACCTCACCATCGGTATTTATATAAAATTCTTTTGAAATGTACAAATAGGTATTTTTAATGCTTATGCGCTTTCTCATAACAAATATCACTGACGAATAAGGTGAAACAGACTATGAGCAGATTATCGTTGTTGTCTAATAGCTTAGTCCACTTAACTTCGAGTTGAATTTGGATTTGAGCTATTTATGGCCACAAAATTATCTACACATTCATGCCATACACACATTATATTTGTTAGTGCAATTATTTACGGCTCATTGTCATTATCACATTTTCTTTTATCCTATTTTTATTAATTTTTAAACGAATCGTCTCACTTTCGTCACCTTTAGTAAGTTTACATATTTCATTTCAAGCATTTACTAGCCTTAAGTGTGAGCTTGCTTTATCTTTTTAAAAGTATGTCCTCACTTTGGCAGACGAAGCACAACCTGCAATGGGAGGGTTTGGTGCGCGACACGTCCGTATTGAGCAAAACGACCAGCTTCAAAGTGCGCGAGAGCAGCGGTAAGCACACGAACAGATCCTGCTGATGGTGTCCCCAAAGGACCCTTTCTAGTGTTCAAAATATTATCAAACAACAAATGATATTTTCCCCTTCAAATTAGAGCATACGTTGAAAACCGGCCAGTGCTGGACCACTACCAATATGTACCGAATAAAAATCAAGATGACGACGTGATTAGCCTCTGCGCCAACCGAGCCTCCAAATAGCTACAAAACAGTTAAATAAAACACATAAAAAAATTATCACACACATTAACACTACACAAGTCATTATTCTTTACTGACATATTAATATATAATTTTACCTGATACTAAGTTATTAGCTTTCTCATGAACGACCACAACACCTATGCGGTGGCAACGTCCGAAAGGTCGCTTTTACTTTACGCCGGTCACCCGTGAGCCCTGACGAGCTACATTAAGAGCGGAGGCTGGCGTCTAGCACGGCGCCAGTTCTGTTCTACCAGATTGCTGACCTCAGATGATTGGACGGCGTCGAACGGGACACCAAGAACTTAGTGGTGACGGGCTGGAGAAAGAAAACTATAAAAGATCGGACTGGAGAGATTTTCTTTTTTTTATTAAAAACATTAACCCTTACTTTAGGATAACATTATACTGTGCTGTAAGGACGTTTTACAAACATAAATTTAACGTGACAAACGCCCAGATGCGAAACAACTATATGTGGGTCACACAAATAGTTGTCCCGCGTGGGGATCGAACCCACTACCCCCGACGCCGAAGGCAATACCTTGGCGACTGCGCCACGGAGTCATCAAAGCCTGAGCGGGCTAAGGCTCACCCGCGGCTGTATTGCCTCAGATGATGATGACGACTGCTGACGGGGTCATGATCGCCTGTGACCAAAGGTCCGCAGATGAAGTCGGTGCTGCGGCACGTGGTGACCGTGGACCGGCGCGACGAGCCGGTGTTCCCCACTCGCGGCACCTGGCTGCAGTTCAGCAGCGCCGTGGCCGGCCTGGGTGGCGGCGTGGCGCACGTGCGCACCGAGATGCAGGCGCAGGCGAACGGCACGCTGCCCGGCGCGCCCTCCGTGGTGAGGCACGCGCAGTCACACATATTCATCAAATATGCACACTCATAAACACATCAAGTACGCACGCTCATAAACACATCAAGTACGCACGCTCATAAACAAATGTTCATCGAGTATACACTCATAAATACCTATTCATCAAGTATTCATACTCATAAACACATATTCATCAAGTATGCACACTCATAAACACATATTCATCAAGTATGCACACTCATAAACACGTATTCATCAAGTATGCACACTCATAAACACATATTCATCAAGTATTCACACTCATAAATTTATGGTGTTCTTCTTTTATGGTATTGTGGTCTTGTTTTATGGTCCCCTGAGTGAGTTCACAAAGCTAGCATTGTGTGTTATTTATTATGTACATAATTTAAAAAATAGAAAATGTATAACATAGTATATAGTTACACTATAAGTGTTGAAATAAATAAATGTTCAACAATTATTCCCACTTAAAAAAACATGGTTAAAAACTTAATAAAAGCAAGGTAGATAAAATATGTTGAGATTTTCGCCGATGTGAAGATAAGCCGTTTAGCTCAGTATCTTAAGCGTTCGGCGCGTATTTAATAGGTTCAAATCTTTGCAGTGGCGAAAAACATTTTGTCCAGTTTTTTTTACAAAATTCTTTAATTTTATTTTAAGTGCAGAGGATAGCCTATAAAAATTAATATCCTTTTAAAAAAGTATCCACATTCATGAAACATATTCATCAAATATGTGTATTCATAAACACAGATTCATTAAATTTGCACGCACATAAACACATGTTCAAAAATTATTTTAACCACCAGACCTGTTATCATACAAACATAATATGAGTTTTGACTCCGTTTTACTATACATGTGTAAAGGACTCTTTATTTTATCTACTCTTCAGGTAGGCCGGTAGAGAATTTCTCGGTCACTCTCCCACTTATATGCATGCTTGTTCGAGAAATAAACGTACGATGGCCCGGTTGTGTGTGTCTGTGTGTCTGTGTGTCTGTTAAGGATTCGTGTGCGCAGGTGTTCCAGGCGACGGGCGCCGTGGGCGTGCTCCACGACATGTTCGGAACGGAGCTGGCGGACCGCTTCTTCCTGGGCGGGCCCGCCACGCTCAGGGGCTTCGCGCAGCGGGGCGTAGGCCCCCGCGCTGATGGCCTGGCCCTGGGGGGGACGGTGAGTGCCTCGTCCACCGCTCGCAGCTGTTACCTTCGGTTGTGGAGGCGAGAGGACCTGCCCGCTGGGGGCGTGGCCAGCTGGCGGTTCACCTGATTTTGATGTGATACCGCCTCCCATGAATATTTGCAGCATCCGACGCCGGTCTCCCGTGAGGTCGTGGTACTTCCCCTGACGGGCCCGACGTCGGCGTGCCAATCGGCCGTTCAGCTCAGTGGTTAAAGCGTCGGGCCGCGAACGCTTGAGAATATCGAACCCACGTCCATTCCCACAGGGGCGACAATCTTTTCCTACTTTTTCTACACATTTTAATGTTCAATCGTAAATGCAATGATTAGCACTATAAACATTTTAAACTTCTGTTATTTACAAATTATTTTTTTATCAGCACCTAGTGTCCACAGTGCAAGCTTTGCTCGGTTTGAGATTAGAAAACGCCGTGTAAACATGTGCTGTCGTAAAAATTAACTATTAATCGGCGACGGCGAGTCCAGATGTACTGGGCGACGGGCCTGCACGTGTACGCGCCTCTGCCGTTCGTGGCGGCCCGCGGTGGCCTGTCGGAGCTGTTCCGCTCGCACCTGTTTCTGAACGGCGGCTGCCTCGCCCACCCAGGTGCTTTTGTGTATTTGCTTAGTTATAGTTACACAAGGTACAATTTCGTATGTCCACTTGTAAATAGCATGCAAATATAAATTGGTCAATGTTAACTTTAAGTGCTGACTTTATCACGTGCTCAGCGGTGAAGAAAAACATCGCGAGGAAACCTGCCATATTTTCGGAATAACAAAATAAATATATTTCGAAGATGGCGTGGTGGACTATGCCCTGATACCCTCTGTAAAAAAGAGGAGGCCTCTGCCCAGCAGTGGGATATGTATAGGCTTTACTTTTACGAGACAATTATTATATTGACCACAGATAATTTTTTTCGGATCCACGTGAAATTTATGTGTGTCCGTCCATACGGAACAGGATAGTGTTATCCTAAAACGCCTCCCAAAACACGATAGGAGGGCACGACCCTTGAACGTGGTCGTGGGTAGCTCTGGTCCCGCCAGTGACAAATCGTGAACGAATACAACGAACACGAACCATCGCGAACGGTTTGCGACTTCAGAAGGTCTCGCGAACTTACCGGTATTGGGAATTACAAGTTTTGATACTTGGTTTTCCAAGTATCAAAATTTGTAATTCATTTTAATGATTGGCGGGCTGCCGGTTAGGTTTAGAAACTGCATCGGACTGCGCCAAGAAGTGCACTGGACAGAGTTAACTGGGATGGGATTGCAATGAGGGGCAGTCTCCTAAATAAGTGCTATTGCACCACCTACGTAGTATACAACGCCATTCTCTTCCGGGGAATCCCCCGGAAGAGACTGCTACGAAGCGATAAGGCCGCCGAATTATACATTGCATGAGTTGTTCTATTGTTAGTTTCATTTATACTCTTATTTGTGGTGGACGATAAAAGTGTATGCGATTAGGCATTAAGGCCGCCCATTGTAGCCCTTAGCTTAAGGTGTAGCAGTGAAGCTTAAATAAATATATCCTTACTAATATTATAATATTAAAAAGGCGAAAGTTTGTATGTATGGATGGATGTTTGTTACTCTTTAGACATACATCAGAATAACACATAGGCTATAAGTTACATACATATTTTTACGTATACAGCGTGTCGTTACCATCGCGACAATAAATGAACACACGTGTAACGATACTTGCCAATAATCATAAAAAATATTAACGTTAAACAAAATCCATAAGTAAAAAAAAAATATTTTTCAAACAAACTAATTAAGTAAAAAAGAAACAAAATTTTTAACATCCTATACAACTCGCGCCACAGCGTCGTATTACAAGCCTCTCTTTCTAACAGTATGTTTTGTCTCTTTTAAATTCATTCAATCCATTCAAATGCTTTGTGACCTTTACAAATGAACTTTACGGTACAGTTTTATACGTAAGGCTGTTCTAAAATTGTTGGTTTTGGAAAATTTAATAACTCTTTAAATATCGATGTTTAAAGAATGTAAATGTTTAATGCAATTTTAAAAAGTTATCCTCTGTATGTGTCGCTCTCAGAGGAGGGCGCGTCGGCGGCCGCTGCGCTGGCGGAGGTGCGGTTGGCGGGCGGCTGCGGCGTGGCGCTGCGGCTGGGCCGCGTGGCCAGGGTCGAGCTCAACTACTGCGTCCCGCTGCGCGCGCAGCCCAGGGACCTCGCCGCGCCCGGCCTGCAGCTCGGCGTGGCCGCGCACTTCCTCTAGCCGCGAGGTGACGGCCCTGTCCTTGACGACCGCGCCTACACAACTTGCAGCCCTGGCGCTGTACAAATTACAGCTGACAAGCTTGTCACCCCCGATCTCGCTAGCGAGGTGATGACTCTGTCGCCGGCGACCTTTCTCAGACCAGTTGCAGCTCTGGCGCTGTGAACATTGTAGCCGACAGGCTTGTCACCACCAAGTTTCGCTAACGAGGTAGCGGCTCTATCGCCGACAAACTTCTCGAGTCAAGTGACAGCCCTGACACTGTTCACGTTAGAGCTGACAAGCTTTTCGCCACCAACTTTCACTCGCACGGTGACAAACTGCCCACTGCCCACGCCGCCTCCACTCGGCTGTCCCACTAATGAGAAGGTTCGTCCGGGGAAGCACCACAGCTTGACGAGACGACGTGGAGCGGCAGTGTTACTATATGTTATAATTTCCACCAACGCATTTGTGACTCCCTCTGATATAAAACAGATTTTTACGTCGAAAATTGGCAAACGATCTGGCGGTTCACCTCATTTTAATTGATAACCCCCCACGGAAATTTGCAACAACGATTGCCGATGTGTTGGCACGTTTTAATAACGTGCGCCCCGGCTAACTCACTCACCAGACGAAACGCAAAAGTAGAACACTTATGCTTCACGTCGGTCTCCTGTGAGGTCGCGGTACTGACCTGGTGGTCCTATCACAGTTATTTTAATTATTTAGTTTCCATGGGCGATGATGAAAACTTTGGTGGTGGGCCACCAAAGTTTTCACCAATGATCAATTGCCTACTTTTCTATAAAAAAAAAAACAACATTTTTAACGAGATATTGACATTTTAATGATTGTTATCGCTTCATTAAAGTCTAATATAAGTATTGATATGTTCTCAGACCTATTACAACATTATTTGGGTATTATTGTAACAGCGAGTATACACCAGCGAGTAAATGAGCGTAGATTTACTATGTCAGTTCAGACCAAAAATACTGTCATTCAAAAGTGGGAAAAGTCACATCTTTATGATATCATTATTCCATAAAATACCCCTTTATAAAGATTTTGACTTATGATAGATAACAGGTCGGTCATTTACTATTTTCTTGGTATCGTAGGTTTATAAAAGAGCTACGCGAGCATACCTCCAAGGAGTGGGGGAACCGCCGTCATATTCACAGCTGTGTCGTGTTGGCGATATGTAAATTATTAGTCTAAAAATAATTATTCGCAGAATGTTCATTGTTGTTGTTGTAATAAAATCTTAGTTATCGCATGTGTAGTATTATTTACTGGGAATTTTATTAATTTCGCTCCATCAAGCTTTTCAAGAGTCACTTATTCCCAAGGAGGATTGACGTCAGACGGGCCAGCCGCCACAAATCCTAGCCACTAGGTGGGATAAGGGCAGAAGAGAGAAGAGACAATAAAGGATTTCTTGTCTCTGTCACTTTGTTCTAAACAAGGCTTGAAATCCTTTACATTTTTTTTGGATTTGTCATTTGTTTTCGATTGTCGAAGGCAATTATTTTATATTAATGGCTATTGTCATTAATTCCAATTTCTATTCCAATTCTATCTTAATCTCAGTCTCCATCTACTGGATACAAATATTTTATACGTATTACGAACTATATAATTATTTTTTTTTAATAAAAAGCGAACGAAATAAAACGAATCCATTTGAAAACAATATTTATTAAATTGAGTCCGAACTACTAACTACGTACATAAAGTAAATTTACGCATATATCCGAAGACGTTAACAAAAAAACTATATCACAACACAACATTTGGAAATAAGTACTTACTTACATAATTTTAAAACATCGAATATTACATAGTTTGGTAATGAAATGCAGCTTTCTGGTTATGTAGGTACACTGAATTTGCATAGTCGGAGAAGTTATAAGCTTTTATTGCAATATTCAAAACATCTCAATAGAAGTTTGTAAGAGAGCAAGGATGATATTTTTATTTTGTACTCATAGTGTAAAATAAACGAAGTATAAAATTGTCTATGAATATTGAACTTTGACATTACTCAAAATAAATGACATAGTCAACGCGACATGGGAGTTTATGAATAATTCTCAAAGTCCCAAAAATCGATTTATTTTATTAAGCTCATGATTTTATACTATTACTTCACAATACTGTTCGAAACAACGGACGTTTCGTTACGTCACATTTATATGAATTGATAAAAATTATCGAAATACAAATTAATAAATAGTTGCGTTTCTTCAAACATTTTTCACAAGCGCGCTCAATTGTGAAATCATAAACGCGCGATTCACCGTAATACCTTTACGATGTATATAATTCACTAAGCCAGCGATACAATATAAAAAGATTTGACATAGTATAAAGATAAGACAACATTTGTTGAGACGAACTGCATACCTCTCAGTCATAAACAGACGCTTGCGTAATAAATAGCTCGTAGTGTAAATTAAAACGTCCAAATTATACATATAAAGGAAGCGTATATAAATTGGCTTACGGCCAGTTTCAATATTCTATCAACATTCGGTTATTGGATAGAATTATGACGTAAATATTATGGAGCTCATGTCAAACACCTATCTAGTAATCAGCAAAATAAATACAGTACACGTCAATTATAATAATTTATTGCGTATAAATGTCAGTAAGTCAAATCGTAATCTCATCATAGTCCATATACCGTAATTTCGAAACTGTTATAACGTAAGGAATGCCCATTAAACTATGAAGTACGCACCACAGTTCTCACTTGTGTTTAATCCAACGCCTTATATACAGGGTGACCGAAAAATTAGCAATTTCTTCCGTAAAATCACAATCAGCTAAACCTAGCCGCGTCGAAATTAACCCCCCCCCCCCCTCCCTTCTCCCCTCTCGAAATTTAAGGCCACGCGAAGGCACGATCCAACCACACCAAAGCGACATTACCCTAAATCTACAAAACTTGTGCCTATAATAAGATATGCGTGTTATGGTAAAATTCTCCGATAGCTCAAAGTCACACAATTCGTTTCTAATACACTAGTAAAAGTTCGCGAAGGGACTTACGAATCTGTCATATATAACACCTATCCAGAACGGGAGTGTTGCCACTTTCTGGTTGATAAATAAGTATTATTTCTCATAAATAATATACACGGGAAAATGTTGCAGATCCTTACTTTAAACTAATGTATATTAACTTGAAAATATTACAAATGGGAATGTCTTACTTGACGAGACAAGTTTTAGGATCGCTCGGCGGAACAGCGCTTGTACTGTTCGCTATCTGTACACATTAACAGATGCCATTTGAATATAAATTTGCAAATCACAACGATTCCGCAGTTATATTCATGGCTGGATATATAAATACATTCAGAGATTCGAACAACGATCCATGTGTTTAGAAATCCATCATTATAATAACGCTTTGGTCACACCGTATTTGGTAATGATAATGATGAACCGATCGATAAAACAGTTGTACAAAAGTATAATATGGAAAATAATCGAATTTGTACGTCATCTCTCGTTAAACTACTGACTGTTCTAGTTTTAATACAAATTAATATTCGAAGACTATATACGGATGTATTATTATTAAAATACGAGAATATTACACAGTAAGCTATGAGCTTATAAAACATTATTCGAACTTAAAACAATCAATCAGTTGATAGATTTGATTTTAAATAATACATTATAATAATATGAGTTAGAATATCACTCTACTTACATCTCAGTACACTTCGATATAAATGGCGATTCGAAGATTCGGAACACACTGTATCTGAGGGTAGTATTACACCGGTTAGATACAGGGTGCCCTAAAACACATATCACAGTGCACTTTACACGGAATTGGGTCTTCAAACGATGCCAGTCGAATACACTGAGAACATATTGGCTTGCACAAAGTCATTCACTTATTTGAGATTGTTCCGTCGGCGTTCGCGACGCGGAATGTTCCCCTGGCGGCACGCTGTCCGTCTCGCTCTAAACGGTCCGCCAGAGCGGGACGGCTGCACTAGCCTACACGGTGAGAGCGGAGCAGCCCTCTCATATGTCGACCTCGCATATTTTCCTCTTCTGCGGGAAGCCATACTTGTCCTTCTTGATCACCTCCAACTTGAGCCGCTGGTAGGTCTCCAGCCTCGACAGGGCGTATTCCTGTTGAGAAAACATCTCATAAACACAAAGAAACAAATGTTAATAAACTGTTTATTGTAACGCCCATACTGTTTTGCAACGTGCGTGCAACATCGCTTCTAGTGTTGAAAAAATTTATGTTATTATATTTGTCTTCTATGCGATCCGACACCATTCGTCTGATTGTGATGAAACTTAAACATTGCTTAACCAATAAATTCTAGCATGGTGTTTAGAAGAAAAAATTTGTCCTTTGCACAAATTACGAAAAAAATAAATAAAAACGGGTTGCAATGCACGTCGCGCATTAGCTAGTCCAGCAGACCTCCTCTAATCAGATCTTAACGGTTCCCGGTGATGAGGAATGTCGTCTGACGTCACCACACCCATCACACTCACCCAGTATCCGAAGGGTATCTGACTCTTGGAGGCGTTCACCACCGACCAGAGGCACCAGAAGAGGTGGCTGGCCAGCGCGAAGGCGTCCACCTCGGCCAGGAGCTGGTTGACGTCATCGATCGAGGGCTCGCGCGACTCCTTGCTGTCCACCGCGCAGAAGTAGTGCTTCAGGTACTCTCTGATGAATATCTCCTGAGGGACAAAGCGCCAGTCGCACTCTGCAGGGGTCGAAGGGAGTAGACCTAGTACAGTCGCCCCAATCGCGCCGCAAGAGTACGGTCGACGGGCGATTAGGTCTCTTTTAAACTAAAAAGTGACCAGTGCTGGAGTCCTAGGTGGCTGTAGACTGATTGCACTAGCCCAGTAATTTTTTTTTTTCAATTACTTTCTATAGGAGCGGGTGTTTGATTTAATGTTTTATTCGGATATGACCCTAATTATTCTCTCTTTCAAATTAGTTTTTAACTGATTTTAATGGAATATAAACATTCACATCTTTTACATATTTTTAGTTATATCTTAGTGAACGTTAATTAGAAATGGCCTTTATTTTCGTCAATCATTGGGTAAATAACTCTAACATACAGAAAGTTTTTCAAAAATGAAACGATTCCAGGTCAAAACATTATTTTTCATACATTGAAAGACTTTCCTCAGTTGTTAAAAGCCAGTAAACCCTTCATCCTAAGCGGAGACGACTCAGGGTCAAAGCTGGAACAAACAACGCTATTATCCAGTCACTTCCTAAAACTTCTACAGGAGCTTAGGTCCTGACTCGGATTATATCCTTTACCAATGGGTCTTTTCTAATTCTTTTAAGTAATAAACTTATGTTAGAATGAGGGATACTGACAGATTTGTTGGCAACCACAAAGTTATTCAGGTAACCAAGAATGATGATATAATGATAATAAGATCTGACAGATAAAATAAAATGAATGGTCTTTTTTGCTATATTACAAACAACAGGCTCTACAAATGTAACTAAAAAAGTGTTTTTGGGAAGAGCGTAAATGTTCAAAAAAGGTTTTTTTTAATAAAGATTTTATGGCCTGGTTACAAGACATTTAAGCCAAAATAAGGTGGAAATGTGTGACCAGAGACAATACATTGATGACTCTGTGGCGCAATTGCCAATGTATTGGTTGCGGCTTCGGGGTGTCGTGGGTTTGATTCCCACACGGGACAACTATTTGTGTGACCCACAGATAGTTGTTTCGCATCTGGGTGTTTGTCCACGTTAAATGAAAATTAATTTTACTGTGGTAGGGCCACGTAGCAGTCTCGGTTGTTGTACGAATGGGCAGGCTGTCCGGGTGAGTACCACGACCTCACAGAAGACCGGCGTGAAGTAGAAGTGTTCACTTCTGCGTTCGGTCTGGTGAGTGAGGTAGCCGGGGCCCACTTTATTAAGAGGCGCCAAGGCATCGGCAACCGTACGGGTGTTGCAAATGTCCATGGGCGGCGATTATCACTTAACATCATGTGAACCGCCAGATAGTTTACCACTTTTTCACATAAAAAAAAATTTGGACAAGGTGGTACAGCCTACCGTTGTCATGATATATTAATTAGGATAACACATTTAGTATTCAATGATTGACGAAAATAAAGCAGATATTATACATTGAAACATGCCTATGGTTCATCGGCCTATAAACAAATATCTTTTTATGACAACTATTACATTTTTAAAGTTTTGTTTCACCATAAAATTCCATCATAAATGTTATATTTTTTACTGTCTATTAAGTACAAAACCAAACCAACCACAGATTATATAAGGCAAGTGAGAATTAATCGATAAGAAAACTTAAAAGAAAAAAGTTACATAATTCCAAAACGTAGTAGGCCGACGAATCAACGGCACCCGACTAACGTGGTGGGGAAAGTGAGAAAATAGAGTTGACTCTCATTCAAAAAGTACTTTTACTCTTCGGGAGAGCGGGGGCGCGGCCATATTGTCATTCGTATTTTACCGCCGGCTCAATCGCGTGGGCAAAGGCGCACGCCCGTTCGGCCCAGAGCGCAGGCGCGGCCGCGGCGACGGCTAAAATCCAAAGCACAAACAAACACAAGCTGCGTAATGGCGCACAACGTGATTCCTGCGCGTATACGGAATCTTCACTCCACGTTTCGTATATTTCCATTGTGTGACGATTTCCGTCTTTGTTTTGGAAAATATCTCCAGACTTTTAAAATTATTTGCAATGAGAATAACACTTGATGTTCTTTTTTTATAGTTTATCGAGTTAAAAAAATCTCATTTCATGTTAAACCTTCTTGGAAAAACGTTTTTTTAATTTTTTTTTTAATTTTTCCATCGTTATTTCGAGGAGCAATGGTGCATGAAGGTACAAGATATTGTTACAAGAGATAAATTAGTATAGAATTTAGTAGAACACTTGATAAACCTCTGACACAATCGTTGCATAAAACTTCTGTAAATTGATAAACGTCAAAGCAATGTCCTGCGAGTGGCTTTGGAATATCGTCGAATTTAAACTGACACAAAATTTTATTAATGAGCATTACCAACATTATCATTTCTTGAACTTGGAATCAATAAGGAACCATTTCATGATCTCCACTCAACAAAATTTTAAATACATTTGCTGCGGAAATATCGATAATACGATAACAATAGACAGTTCCAAAGATAGCATTATAACACTGAACAATCTTTCAATCTATTCTTTCGACAGTAATTGCAGTATCTTCATCACTCCCGATAGGACTTCGATATCCGCTCGATAGTTAGATAGTATGATAGTCGACTACTTTACCCTATCGATATAAAAAAAATCGATATTTCACAGCACGCTCACAAAACCACTCGGCTCGTAGAGGCAGATTCATCTGAGATTCAGATTCACCCACCTTCTGCTCCAAGTTGGGGCAGTTATCCTGGTCCTCGTAGTAGAACGGGTGCCCGGGGTTGGTGTAGTCGTAGCCCCACTCCTGGAAGTGGTTCGCGATGTCGAAGCCGCGGTGGTTGTACGCGCAATACTCGAAGTCGATGAGCACGAGGCGCGGCTCGCCGCTGTCCGAGATGCGGCTGGCGACGCTGTCGGAGGTGTTCGCGTCCTCGAACTGGCCCAGGGGCTCGAAGGCCTCGAGGACCAGCTCCTCCTCGATGGCGCCGGACGGCGCGTCCTCCAGCAGCAGGATGTTGCCTGCGAACGGGAAGCCCGGTGGAGGCTCTTGCCGGAATTAGAAAGCGGTGGCCGAACGGGCAGGCTGGACCGGGGAAGTACCGCGTTGTAAAGCGAAACGTATTGGATATCCCAGATATTGTTATAGCTTGAGATTTTATAGGATTAACAGTCAAACCATATTGTCCGCTCCAGTCAACAATACAAGCCAAATCCCTATTAATAATAATAAAATAGAGAGAAGATATTTGGGAAGTAATGGTATTAATGACAATTGAAAATAGCAGTGGGGATAACACGCCACCTTGGATGCTCTGGTCGGAGCTCGGAAGAAGTGGTAAGGCCACAGCGGCGGGCTATCGATGCTCTAGTCGGGGCTCAGAATGAGACTGTGGTAAGGAAACGAGCCAGCTTCTGCTGTTTGGGGAGTAGGCAGCCTTGTGCGGGGATTAGATAGTAAAACATTCTTCTCACCTTCCTGCATATCGTTGTGGCAGAACACCACCGGGGAATCGACGGTCGCGATGAACTTCTTCAGCCACTCAATCTCCTTGTCGAAGTCGACGCCCTTCAGGCGCTTTATTATCTCCTGCTCGTCCTCGTTCTGTAAGAGAAACAAATGTTTTTATTTTTATTTTTTAACAAATACTTCAAATGATCATTGTGATCATTAAGATCATTCTGTTCAATTCAGAGAGTTTAACCATCCTTCTGGCAACTTATAAAACATTTAAAAAGCCATTTGACAGCTGATTATTAATTTCTACGATGATCAGTGTTTCAGAAACCGGGCGTTAGTCTACTGTTACTGTTACGGCGTTGACATTTTGATTGTCGTCTTGCCGTCTTGACAGTTGAGTCACTCAAATTATACCAATAGGTGTTATTAGATTGCAACTCTATAGACTGCTATCTCTTTCCGTATCCATACGTTTTATCAACTGTCGCATTCACTTATACATGTCATATAATGTAGAGCGGAACAATTTTTAAACGCGCAGTATGGACATGCGTCGTCTATATCATTAAACATCATTGATAATCCATAACATATTAGGAGCGTCTGATCAAAAATAATAACGATTATTTTTTTTTTAATTTCTAATCACATACTGCACACATAAATCTGTTATTTGGACATCAAAACATTGTTACCGAAACCTATAAACGAGTAAGCTTTGTTCACCTCTAAATTGGAAATCCATAGACATGTTTATTATTTTTTAATTTCCCGAAAAAATGTGATTTGTTGGTTTTTGTTCCGAAGCTCCCGCATATAATATAAGGAGCTCACCTTGCCAACCACAGTCTGCGAGAGTCTCTCCTCCTTGACCGTACGCAGCCACTTGTACATGGTCTTCCACAGCCAGTTTGGCTCCTTGGAAAGCGGCACGTCCATAGAGTGGATGGCGGCCATCTTCTCAGCGATCTTCATAGACAGAGCCGGCTCCGAGAGCTCCTTCGTGAGCAGCGAGCGAGCCTGGAAGGGATATGTGAGTTACACACGCAAATACAATGAAATACAAACGACTACAAAAAATAAATGTCTTGCAGCCATTTGTATTCCATTTGAAAGTATACAATTCCAAAACCTTATCGATAGAAGCTTGTTTACGATTGGAATGTTAGTTTTATATAATAACGCCCGGTTTCTGATCGTCGCATCAATTAACTAATCAGCTGTCAAATGGCTTTTCAAATGGCACTTAAGTTGCCAAAAGGATGGTTAAACTCTCTTAATTGATCAGAATGATCTTAATGATTACAATGAAATTAAATTATTATATTTGATTAGTTAATTTCTAAGATGAACAGTGTTTCAGAAATCGGGCGTCAGTCTTTCGTTTTTTTATGTAAAACTTCTTTACGGACCCTTAACTTGGGGAGTAAACTGGTGACGAGACCGTTACGAAAAGTGTGATCGGACGATGTGAACAGAACTGTTACGCGAACGGTGATTTCTTGATTATTAATTTATCAATGGAAAAAACCCATAACATATATTATACATATACAGCGTGTCGTTACCATCGCGACAATAAATGAACACACATATAGGGCATAACTTTTTAAAGTTGTATTAAACATTTAAATTCTTTAAACATCAATATTTACATAGTTATTAAATTTTCCAAAAAAAAAAAATTTAGAACACCCTTACCTATAAAAGCGTAACGTAAAGTTCATTTGTAAAGGTCACAAAGCATATGAATGGGTTGAATGGATTTAAAAGAGACAAAACATACTGTTAGAAGGAGAGGCTTGTAATGCGACGCTGTGGCGCGAGTTGTATAGGATGTTACAAATTTTGATTCTTTTTTACTTAATTAGTTTGTTTGAAAAATATATTTTTTTATTATGGATTTTGTTTAACGTTAATATTTTTTTATGATTATTGGCAAGTAGCGATGGCAACGACACGCTGTATACATACATATAGATGGAGCTAAATAAGTTTTACTTCAGTCGTGTGGTCTGAAGAACACTCGTTTTTTTTCCATTTCTACATTTTCTTGCTGGTCAGTCTAGATAATAAGACTGAAGTGGGAACAGTAAGACTAGCTCACCGGTATGTACTCCTCGATCCTGCCTCCGGAGAACACGCCGTGCAGCTTGGGGCCGAGCCGCCTCTCCGACAGCAGTGTGAAGATGACGGACTCTGTCACTATCGCGTCCATTGCCCGCTCGCCGTGGACTTGTCCGTATATCCTCAGGAGAACCTGGAACCGACGCTCCATTGTATCTCCACAATACCATTACTGATCTGTCCTCATCTATCATATCACAATAGCACCCACTCAAGAACCGTTGGATGGATTTTATTAAAACTTGGAACAGAAGTAAGCTTTTTACATATTGATTAACATATACAAAATATGTATTTTTGAAGTGAAACTTCTTTATCGGGGTTGGAAAAAAAATTAGTGTAACATTTTTCCGTTACGCGCCATCTTTTTTTTTATCTTAAAATGTTCCTCTAACGCCATCTAGTGTTGAATAGGGGGTTTTATGTCGTCTTTATTCTTTAGTGGTTTTAATAGTTGACGCTAGATGGCGTTAGTTCCTTTGTGTGTTCATAGCAATATATATATATATTATATATTAAAGTGATCAGCAAAATCAAAGGGTTTATTCTAATTCTAAAATGTAAACAATATATTTCGTATTTCAGTTACCATAAGCCATTAATAACACAAATATATAATAACGACATCAATGATAGTAATAATTCTATTACAATTAATGAAATTCAATAATAATCTTTGTAGTAATGACAGTGCTAGCTCTAATACTTCAGAGCACGACACTGTGTCGACTTCCTCTTCTCCAAAGGCAGGCACCGCCCACCGTGACCTGACTGCGCCTTCCACCGAAGACATAATCTGAAGCTGACCGATGATGCTCTTCGAAACCTCGATCGGCTCCTGGAACTTGCGGTTGCGACGTCGATCCAACGTCCGCAAGTTCGGTTTTCCAAAAAAACTTCACTCACAACACTCGCGCGCGAGTCGAATGTCTACTCACTGGCTGACTATTCGGCAACGAAGGACCATGTACAAATTCAAAGCGGTTGTATTTTGGGTCCGTGAGGTTAATTGAAATAAACAAGGTTCACGTTGCAAGTTTTTTAATCAACAATTTTTGCGGACCCTCATACTAATTACAACGGTCAAACCATAGAGTGTTTTAATTTATTACTAACGCAACCTATGTATTACAAATAAGAAACTAAATATTATACAAAGCTAAAATGAAATAATTGTAGAATTTGTATTTATGTCTATGATAATAAAAGCTAAAAGGCTTTTATTATCATAGACATAAATTATCTAAACTTTATCTAATTTAACTTTATTTAACCAATTTCTGTAAAGTTGCATATAGTAAATTATTTTTTGAAAAATAACGTCATAAAAAAGTTTCACTTCTTACGAGTGTACGCTAGTACACGCACACATTTTTTTTTGTTGATAAATCGGGTAACATTTTCAAAATGCCATCCCCCTTTACAAAGCTTCTTCTTCTCTTAATCTACTTACTAAAGTGAAAGAAGAAGGGGGAATGAGGAAATAGGAAAGCCCACCTTTCTCGGCTCCTCGATGGAGAACGAACTGGATCTGACCATGGATCTGCCTGTGAACCTGGACACCGGATTCTCGAGCTCGGTTTCCGGTGAGCTCTCACGGCGCGTGTAGCCGCCCAGCTTGCTCGTGTCTTCCGGTAGAGCCACGTAGTACAGGAAGTTGGAGAGCCCTCCGCTGCGACAAAAGTCTACCATCAGCCAATTCTTCAATCCAGCTCCTCTATTCCTTATTCATAAGATTGGTCGAATAGCGAATGTTGTGCCGACAAAATTATGCGGAAAGACGACCGCGTTATGCCGAGGAGAAAATCGTTTTCCACCAAAACGACGCATGAATTCGCACCTGTACTATTGTTATGAGTTTGCTTTCTCACCCACCATGTTCGCCAGATTTGACACTTGCGACTATTTTGCGTTCCGAATTTAAAAAAGTGTCTCGGTGTGAAAAGATTTGGCTCCAACGAGGAGTTTAAGCCAATGCCTATTTCGAAGGGTCGCCTGATTCCTATTTTATGGACGGAAAAGAAAAGCTAGACAAACGCTGGATCGACTACGTTGGAAAATAAATATTTTTAGGGTTCCGTACCCAAAGGATAAAATGGGACCCTGTTACTAAGACTCCGCTGTCTGTTTGTCTCACTGTTTGTCCGTCGGTCTGTCTGTTCGTCTGTTACCAGGCTGTATCTCGTGAACCGTGATAGTTAGACAGTTGATATTTTCTAATTTGCTATTAGAACAAATAATAAGACATGTTTTTTTTTTTTGGTGATTTTATAGATAATGGTACGGAACCCTTCGTGCGCCAGTCCGCTCACGTGGCTGATGTTTTTTTAAATATAATTTTTATACTACTTCGTCAGAAAAACTGTTACTTCCGTCAGAAAAAATCTGAGTTACTCCCTAGTCGCGCCTAAAGAAGTTTTACTTCAATCGCGACAATAAATGAACACACGTCTAACGCTACTTGCCAATAATCATAAAAAATATGAAACGTTAAAAAAATCCATAATTAAAAAAATTTATTTTTCAAACAAAGTAATTAAATAAAAAAGAAACAAAATTTTTAACATCCTATATAACTACAACTGACTGATTCATACGAGGTCTCTCCTTCTAACACTATGTTTTGTCTCATTCGAATTCATGCAACCCATTCATATGCTTTGTGACCTTTACAAATGAACTTTACATTACAGTTTTATATGATGACAAAAATATTCGCGCCGTTTTGAACCGTTTGTCTTAGTGGTTGAAGCGCTATGGCCGCGAATCCGGAAGTCGTGGGTTCGATTCCCGCAGCGGCGAAAAACTTTTCATCCTTTTTTCAAATAATTTTAATCCGTTTTTCAATTCGAACTACAATTTCGAAGACATTCATACTTAACCAAATCGGGGGATGGTTGCTCGCTGTAATTTCACCAGATCGAAATAATTAAAGATAGCACGTAGGTACTTACTTAACATTGCCGGCTAACTTGCTTATCAATGGTAGTTTTCCGATGTCCCACATTCGATGTAAACGTATCTTAACAACGTATTTCGAGATAATAATTACAAAGGTTCCAACTAATCTGATACCAGAAATCGACAGTTTCATTATATCTTGAGGATACACTTAAAGTCATCAGTTAGCATTAAGCGTTAAGGTTTTTCCTTTAGTGACGCCTTTGCAGAAGGGCAAGAATATAAAATCGTTTCATTACCCTACTAAACAATACAAAACAAGAGCTTAATGCGACATTCTAAATGATGACAAAAATATTCGCTACATAATAAATAAGTTTGTTCCAGGCATTTTAAATAACAATTAACATCACTATCGTGGCATTTCAACTGTTAATTAAATTTAAAAAAAGATTGAAACATATAAATATCTCTTGTATCTTGTATTAACTGATGTTTTTGCTTTCAGTCCCGAGACTATTAAAGCTTCATCTGACGCAGAACCGGTGGGCTAGCCAGAACCCACGGGTTTGGGCCCTCCGCTGTGGGTAGGGCCGCGCATGTGCTCATGCGTGAGTTTAACTACGACATGTCATCTAAGGGCCATCGAAGTTGCCGTGCGCCCGATTGCCGTCGACTGTGTTTTTAGCTAATCGGTGGCTGGGGGCGGTGAGAACCGCCCTGGAACGCGGGTGTACCTTGTGTACGCGTTGTGTTGGTCTCGCCGTGCTCGGAGGCGAGGGCGAACTATTGTGTTTGTTGTTACACTAGCTGTGGGTCACACTACACGTGTTATCCGGCGGGAACGATATAAATAACTTCGGTGTTGGGGCTCATTTCCTGGACGAATAATTCGATTGAGAGACAGATAATGTCGCCGGAATTGTTCGAATTTATGCTTTTTACCTACCCTAGAACAAAGAATAGTCTTGATAAAAAAGAGAAGTAGAAAAAGTAAGCACAACATGGAATAATTTAGCCGGCGAATAAAACACAATGGATTATAGTTCAGTTTTTGCCCGTTCACTCGACGCCCGTCACCCAAGCTTTCGTCAGAAAAAGCTTTATTCAATACATTTCTTACGTAACGTCGCCAGTACAAAGCAGTTGAACAAAAAACGCAGATTCCAGGAAAGAGAACTGACGCTGGTCGGTTTTTGCAGAATCACAATGGTCAACCTAGATATCATTAAATGACCATTTTACTGATTTACTTCGCCATTGACGCGTGAAACTATTTTTTTTATCTCAAGCCCACTGGTCCTCGACCATAAAACCACCTCATGGTAGGCGATGAAGTATATATGGCTGAAGACCGCACAAAATTCCAAGACCGTTAAGGTAAAAATAATTTATAAATGTTTTAATTGACACTTATTTTAATTACAGTCGATCTAGACAGGCCAAGTTCTTTTTAAACTGTAGTTTAGTTTCAAAATTACATCAGTCGTTGTTATCTTGAGCAAATGTGGCCGTAAAGAACGGCAATAATCTCGTAGTATCCATTTATGATGATTTTTAAGAGAGAAACATTCAGTTTCTTTGTTTGAACGCAAATGGCTTTAATGCGAGTTTTGAGCGCTCTCTGCGGTGCGTGCCCCAAACGGGTTCAAGCAGGCAGCTTTTAACGAAGGGCAGAAATTATGCCCTCATACGGGCTTGGTTGTCGGTGCCCTCGTGTGCACGCATTCCCACCCGAATGCGTGCACACAAAATAATATTAATATTAGACCGTTTTAAATAATAGCCGACAGTAAAGTGGGTAAACGGAGAATACACAAACGACGATAGCAAAACAGATTTGTTGCAGGACCTCAAGATACCTCAATAAATGTCCAAGCGCGAGTTTGTTCGACGTCGTTTACGCAATGTGACCTTTTTCCCGGAATTTCCCCGTTTCATTTTGCGCAATAAACTTAGCACGTGCAATAAAATTAATTTCGAGGGCGCTGCGAGACGCAATAATGGTATGATGAAGGAAAAAAACATCTTTGACTCGTAAACCAGAAATAACCAGATTCCATACGTTTACAAGTATCTGCGTAATTTTTTGAAAGCATTTAAGTGGAAAACATCATTTAGTCCAAACAAAAAGTACATTTTAAATCCCTGGTTTTGTAAATAGCATACTTTTGAAATAAAAACAATAAGCCTTTAACATGATTCTAATGTACTAATACGATGTCAAAATGATTAATTATAAGCATTTTTGTAATAAAATATAAATAACAATTATTTTATTCCGTCAGTACATTAAGGTCGCCGGTTATTAGTAAACAAATTGAATAGTAGAAGGTGTTACGCCATGTTTTCGCTCCCGCCAAAACTGCTGACCACAGACTAAAAATAAAAAACACGTTTCTGCACTGGACAAGGTCACGCGAATGTTTATGTTTTTTATCGCTGTTTTTACGCTTTTTTATTAAACGACATTAAAGTTAATGTAACAGATTGAACTTTGAATTTTTCATCCACGTGGTGAGCGATTCTCTAATCGCTATCCCAAACTCTTTTGGGATATCGATTTGTTTTTGGTAAAATCCTAAGACTGGAATACCTACTTTTTAAACATTATAAAATATATTCAATTATCTCTTCTGCATTTTATTCCATGTGCCAATAATCTGTTTGTGAAAAAGACATTAAATGCAATTATTGATAAACAGCTGTTTCCACTGTAATACCGTGAAATTTAAAACAGCATAATATTCAGATCGCTCGATTCTGAAATAATGAATGCACGATTTTGACCAACTCCTAGAAAATTTTTCTGTAACGAAAATTAAATATTAACTTAACGAGAAATATTGCAAGTGATAACGATGTGAAACTTTATAAATCTGAATTTTTTAATTGAGTTTACAATTGTTGTTTATAATTCCAATGATGTTTCATAAATTATATAGATGACGCATGTACATACTGGGCGACGTTTAAAAACTATTCCTTTACATTACATGACAGAATTAAAAGTGAATGTGATAGATGATATAGATATGATATGGAAAGAGATGGCAATCTATAGAATTGCAATCTAATTACACCAATTGGTGTATTATATGACCTCAATTTCGGTGCGATAGTGTCATATCTTTATATATTAAATACTAGCTGACCCAACAAACGTTGTTTTGCGATATAAATTATTTCTAGGGAATATTGTGAATCTGAACACATAGAAAAAGAATTTTCGGGAAGGCACCCATAAAATGTTTGACAGGAACAGTTTGTATGGGAAAATAAAATTGTTGCTTTTTCTATTTTCAATGCAATTTATCCGGAATTTCTCATCGTTTAAACCTTCCCTGAAATGCCACAAATATTTCAAACCCACAATTAGCCAAATCGGTCCACCCGTTCTCGAGTTTTAGCGAGACTAACGAACAGCTATCCATTTTTATATATAAGAATAGGTAAGATAAAACATACCTAAAAGATACTAAGGTAATTACAGAGAGAGGAGTAATGTAGATCTAATCTGCGGAAAATACAAATAAATGTTCCGTTCTACTTTAAAGTCATTAATGGATAATCTTAATGGCCAACAAAACTAAATACGTCACAAATAGAGTACCACAACCACCAGTAGCATTTTTCTACGCATTAAACAATAAACTTGCGTCATTCACAGTATAATGAAGTTATCAGAACAGGTTTGTATACTGTGCTAACATTGTTAGAAATCTTACGGGTAACGAAATCAACATATTTCAAGTTGTAACCTTTTGATCATTTTAGCAGTATTATTAAATACTCTTCTGTATACGTTAAAACACCACAAAACTGGATGAAAATTTGCATTTTTCAAAAAAAAAAGTTGTTTGAGTAAAAAACAAGGAAAGTGTTCACGAGAGTAAAGAAATCGTTCATATTTTGTTTGATTAAGAAAAAGATTTAAAGACTGCAGGAAGATAAAATGCGATGAATTTCCAGAAGGTCACAATGGATACTACATACAACTACGACATACGTTAACTGTGGTAGGGCGACGCAACTGTCTTCGCTGTTGCACTTCACAGGTCAGGGTCTTGACGTGGCGGAGGGGCTTGGTAGCCGAGGCTTGCTGCTTATTAGCACTGGCCTTCCTGGCTTCCATGGCCCCGGTCAGCGAACTCGGGGTGTTCGTTGGCCGTGAAAATGGGGCCGAGTAGGAAGGCGCGCTGAATGTTCCAGCGCGCCTTACCTGGAGGAGAGGGGAGTTGCTCCCCGTGAGGGGGCTGCTAAGGCGGCCAGCGCTGGCAGGGTTGCGGAAGTGTTCGAAAGCGTTCCCGTGACCTACTGCCGATTTGCGCCTAGGTGTAACATCGTGGGGGTTTTAGTCGGTGGGAGTCCGACATAACCCGCTCTTGCCCCCGCGAGGGCGGGTATGCGTAGGCGTCCTTCTGTGAGGTAGCCGGGGCACATTTTATTAAGAGGTTGCAACGCATCTGCAACCCTACGGGTCTTGTTAATGACCAAGGGCGGTTGTCAGTTAATATCAGGTGAATCCCCAGCTAGCTTGCCATCTTCATCATAGAAATATACAAGATATGGAAATGAATCCAAGGTCATGCATCAAAAACAAGCGCACGCAGACAGAACAAAGGAAATATATTTTTACTGTGGTAAGACAACTTGCGAATGGTGCGAGACTGGCAGGCTAGTTCGAGGGAGTACCACGGCGTTATTAAGTATTGTTCTTTAACGTTTCTTCTGGTAAGTGAGGTAACTAGTCTCTGCTCTTCTAAAGGTAGGCAACGGATCTGCAATCCCTAGGTTATTGGAAATTTCCGTGGTGGTAATAACTTAATATCACCAACCGTATGCTCGCTTTTAAAATATTCGCGTAAAAGAAAAAGAACTGCGATCTAGTTTTCGCTTGTCGTCAATCCCTTTGTCGGATTGCGAATGCATTTCGCTGATTATGCACGCCCGCGCAAACTCGTTTCTGCTTGATATAATTTACAAACAACCTCGTTTTCGTTTCGAGGTTCATCCGCTCTCACGAGTTTTCGGGTTGTCGCTCGCGGCATTGTCGCTCCACCAAGGACGTTGGTTTACTTTAAACACCGACAAACGTTCGGTTGATTATATATCGATTTATCGTGGATATTAGTAATTGAAGAAGGAGAAGAAGAAACGTTTATTCACGGTCTAAGCACAATAGATACATGCAACACTTAAAAATAATTGTACGGTGAATTTGGTAGCGTTAGGGTCTATTATTATGTCATCGATAGTTTGAGCTGTAAAGCGTGTGTGTCACGATTTTAATGGAGGAATACGAGTGAGATGTTTATATTAGTACGCTTGAGTAAACTTCAGCAAAACCTTGCAGATGCGTCGCCCACCTTTAAGGAAAGACCTGACGTTGACAAATAAAACCAAAATGAGCGTCAAATCCCTTAGATATCTGGACGGATGGAGTTGATGTGGACGTTGAACGTTAGTTTTCTTACACTGATCAATAAATAAAACTCAATGAAATGACAAACTGACAGACAGCATTCATTCCGTACGCGAGCCCTAATAAAGTAGTAATATTTTAAGAATATGAGTTAATTTTTTCAGAAAGAGGACTTACTCCAACTCTGCTCTCGCTGAGAATGTACTTTTAAATGCACGTGAGGTAAGGGGCTAGTGTTAAATAAACCGCTAGGCTACGACTGACCTGATCCGTCTGAACTCCAACTCCTGGGGCTTGACGCTCTTCCAGGCGCCGTGCAGGTAGTTCCTGCAGATCCTGCCGGCGACCTCGCGCATCTCCTCCTCAGTGCCGCACATTTGCAGTTTCTGCAAAATTGTGACAGCGTCAACACACTACGAACAGACGGACAGACAAACAAGCTGCCAGGTTTTTTTTACTCTTACAGGTAGCTAAGGCCTTGTTGCGACATTTAGTTGTACAGATTAAAAACTATACTTCAAACGTATTTATGTTATAGTATTATTTATAAGATTGAAATTAAAAAAAAAAAAGAAACATATACTGTCAAGTCTCAAATCAATTTTCAAAAAAGTCAAAGAAATTCTCATCGAACAATGTTAAAGAACCGATGACGTCTCCGCGTCTTTTTTGAATAATGTATATTTGCTTTATTTTGTTGGACTACCAAGGTAGTTTGCATGACGGCGAGCTATATCGGAGGTTCACGAATATTAACAGCGTAGTCGGGTTAACCTCGCAACTATTGATTTGGCGGCTAACTTCAAGGTAGCTGCCCCGTATTACATTTGAAAACATAATAGAAGCTATGTCCAATAAACCTTACAGAGAAGAGTCATTGATAGTCACGTTAAACAGATTTTGTGAAATCTCAAATGCGCTAGTCGATGTCATAGAGAGTTTTGTACGGCAAGGAACCCGAAAATTGAGAACTCAATAGTAAAAAATTCTGAATTCAAAAAAATCTTTATTCAAATAAACACTCGCGCGTTTTTACGAAACATCGAATTTTACAAAAAATTAATACACTGTCAGGGTGTACAATCAGTTGAGAGGTAACCGGCACGAAACTCAACAGTTGCTTTTTTTTTAAATATCAGTTTACAGTTGTACAGCTGACTGGAAGAGTGATGAATAAGAATGCGGTTGAAGGGTGCAAAGCTATAAGAAGACCGAGAAAGATACGTTGTATAAAAGAAATCGCTACACAAGCTGAAAACGCACACGCCATGAATATTAAATTAATAAGTATTCTAAGCGGTCGATGACCTCAATGGCGCGAAAATCTCAACATCTAAGTTATTTCTATTACATTATTGCTAATACTAGCTGCTATCTAGTGTGCATCATACAACACCTTACAAAGAACATTCAACGATGAACGTCTGTAACGTCAGATTTCGCCTTTGCTCTTAAAATTTTAGTATTAATTTTATTCCGCGCTAATGATGAAACTTAGCATTTGTAATATCTTATCGTATAATAACAAATAAGTTACAGCTTTAGCTCCGATTAGATCTACTTTACCTACCGAGATTTCTAGCTTCAAACAGCAATAATGACTTTTCATTACAATCAGAAATGTAAAATCGGTTCAATGGTTCATAGATTCCTCAATGCATAAAACAAGCAAAAGATCCAAACAAATAATTTGCCTTCTCAACTTAAAAGCAGACAATGTACTTCATTAATTTTAATTTTATTTTAATTTTTAGTTGCGTATTTAAGTCTTCATCGTCGTAGTATAAAGACGCAAGCCTTTTTCAACCGACTTCGAAAAAAGAGGGAGGTCCTCAATTTGGTTGTACGTTTTTTTTTTGTCTGTTACCTGAGATCTCCGTTATTTATAAGCAGACTTTATAAATTCTTTTTAATTAGCTATAACTTCACACATTCCCGTGCTCCCATTGACTCTGGAGATGGGTTTAAAGAAAATGTATAATAAAATTAGTTTTGTTTCTTGATAATAAAAATGTATCAGTTTTTTTTGAGCAGCTGGTTCCTAAGGTATGAAAATGCGGTTAAAATACACCAAGTTCGAAAGAAACAAGTCCATTTTTATTAACTAAAAAAAACCGACTTCAAACAGGAAACTAAAAAAAAACATTGTTAATAAATATAACATTTGAGGAATGCCCTCGATTTCTCTGGGATTCCATCATCAGATCCGGGTTTCCTTATCATGATACCACCCTTGGGATATCTCCTCGCCAACAAAAAAAGAAGCTGTAACACGGCCCGTATCGGCAGCTGGTCTTATCCATACGATGGTGTACGAAAAGCCCACTCAAGAACGAAACTTTATGCACGAACACTATACCTAATAGGTAATAATTACGTTACAATTATTACCTACAAAGTTGGCCGCTAGTTGTAAACTATCTGATAAACGCTCTGGAGAAAATAAATAATTCCACACCTATGTTTTACCCCGGGATTGAAAACTTAGGTAGCTCGTCCAACCACATTTTCACGATCAACTACGTAGACATTTTATTGAGGCTAAGAAAGATTCTGGATAAGAGTTAAATAAAAGTAAAACACACGATTCTAGCCTTCAAAATCAGAGGAGAGATATTAAATCATACAGTAATCGCCATGTTGACAATTTACAAGTTTATTATTAATAGTTATCAACAATAATTAATAAGCGAGGAATGTAGAAAGCCTCTATCAAATCAAAAACAGTATGGCAACAAAACAAATACAAAAACGCGATGGGGTACGATATTTTTGTTGCCGTGACTACTCGCACCACGACGGGTTATCGGATCCCCCAATCCATCAAGGCCAGGTTGTTGCCAGATAACATAATTATTTTATTGTCACCGGAAATTTGGATAGATAAATTATATTACACACTAATGCTTGTTAAAGGTAGGCTTTTGACAGTGACGCGGTAATTTTCTTTTTTATTTTCTCTAAGAATTACATCCAGCCAAAATCTTAATTTTTACAGCCATGACAGGAACGTGAGGTAACATTTTTGTTAATTTTTCGAGAAGCACATAGACTGTGATCCTGCAAATTGTTACAGTTGTGTAATAAGCATGAAAAATTCAAGAGAAAAACACGGGATAAACGGGAATGAAATACTTCAAGTGGATAAAAGACATGTATGGGATACTGAAGTAGTATTTTTCCACAGTGTCATACCGTAACGTAAATAATATTGTTTGATAAGAGATTTCGTTGTTTTCACTGCGATAGCCTATCAAAGATTGTTAATGGAGGATTATGGTTTTATCAAATAGACGTGGGGAAACGCGTCTTACCGTCGAATTTACTTAACAAATGCCCTCGCCTTCAACTATGGTTCAGGTTATTTTTAATGCCTAAATAATTATTGTAACCGTCGTCGATATTGTTAAATTTTTATAATGGAATCGATGATACATTTTTATTGATTTAAGTATTAATGTTTAGAAGATTAAGTTTATCATAACTATTGCTTAATCCATACAAATTGATCAAAGAAAGATCAAAAATTGAAAGATTCGAAGAAGCAATGTTACTAGGATTTTGCAATTATATGAACATTTAAAACTGCCCACAGAAAATAAAAAAAATACCTGATACAAGTTTTATTTATAAATCAATCGAAATATTATAAACCTGTTACGACCTTTTGGGTTTTTACAAATAAAAAAATATTCAATGTTAAATAAAAAGCAAATACAATTAAAAGATAATTTTCATGAGACATATTTTACCAAAAGGGTATATTTACACAGGCAATTTTATTTAAAAAAATGATAGTAGCATGTGTAACGAATATTATTTTTCAATAAATAAATTTAAAAGAAACAAACAGAAAGAATTTAATAAAAATTTTAGTATGTCAATTTGCAACCTTGAATCTAAATTCTTAAACAAATCATCCATCAAAAACAAAATAATTCGACAACTTATCGGCAATAAACCACGAGGACAGATAAACTTAATGATAATATACAGATAGTTAAGTATCTCTCCACATGCCTCAGACCCGGATCAATAAGATGACTAGTATAAAGATTAATTAATTGATTATACTATAGCCCTTATTTAGGGTTTTACGCATCTGGTATGCTATTAACGGAGTTTATGGCAGCCGAAAAAATATCGATATTAATGATTTAAAATATCGATATTTTAGACGATATATTTGGATCCGACATATCGATATAAAATATTCAATATCGAAATGGTATCAAAAACGATATTTTTTTTAAAATTCGAATCGGGCACAGAGTCAAATTGTAGGAGTCAAATATTTAAAACTTGATATACCATTTTTGGACAACGGGTCCGAAACAAAAAATATCCGATGTATCGTTATTTTCTCTTCGATATAATTATCGAGGCCGATGTTGATATTTTATAAATATCGATATATTTCTTCACTGTTGACATCACTCACTCAGGCAAAATGCTCATAATTGCACGTGTCCGGTACATCATACATTTAGGTAAGAAAATTAAACTTAAACCGACACCAATCACAAATCTCGTCCATTACATTAAACAAGAAGCCATTTCCAGCGCTATTCAAAACAATAATATGATTCAAGATAACATTGCACATAGCAAGAAAGTGGATATATATGTATATTTTATACATTTACGTGATATTATGAAAATTAATATTTCACTAGTAAAGTAATTGCACAACGTAGATGAGTTTTAGGATACGCTTTAATCAAAATTCTTAAAAAAATGTAGTTGTAATATACATAATTATGGAACTACAATCAGAGATATCAGTTAGTAAATAATTTTCTTTAGAATTCCATGCGTATAAAATCGTCGACAAAAAGTAGTATAATGTATTTCATACGGTTTAACACAGTAAGAATAAAAAAACGCATTTTCCTATAAAATGCAAACGTATTGTACATTTTTGACTGTTTTTTTTTTATAAACGTAGCCATGTTCCTTATTAATTCTAGTTGCCTTGAGATCGTATGTACTAAAGTAGAGAGATGTATTCGGTTCTACTATAAACAGTCACATTTTTATCGGAGAAAGTCCATTGGGGCTTTGTGTGCTCGTCTATTGAGACGAGCACACAAAGCCCCAACTACTGTATTTAGTTTCCGTTTTGCCCTGTCACTATAACTCATTAAAGGCCTTATTTACTTGCGTTTAAGTCCTTACTTCCAAAAAAAGTAGAAGCATGCTTTGTAAAATGCAGGTTACGTTATGTCTGATTCACAAATGTAACACTAACATCTCGGACATGTTCGTGTTATCATCATTTTGTAGTGGTCAACTCGCAAGCAGTAAAATCAATATATCTGACGCAACTCGGTGTATAAATACTATCGACAATTCGCCGGAACCGCATCAAACGCGCATAGTGGCA